CCCTTGCTGGAGGTGAGCCTGATGAGCCACAGCACTGCGCAAGGCCCTTCATTGGGTCCTCACGTGCATGGGCAGCAGCCTGCACCCCGAGACTGGGGTATTCTGGACCTAGCAGGCATGTGTGCAGTTTCTTAAACCATGGATCCTGTTCGCTCCTTGAGTGGCTGAACGCGCGACACTGTTCTGCAGATTCATGCCCTGCCCTGACCCCGCTCTGGCATCACCCTCCCCAGCTCAGGCCTGGGCAGCTGCAGAGGCCTCCCTGCTGACCTCACCCACTGGCCTTACTCCTTCGGCCGGGTCTTCGGGTCCTGGTGGGGCGGGCACACCCTGTCCCCCACTCAGAGTCTCCCGCCAGCCTTAGATGTCTTCCCCACCCTGAAGGCTGTCATGGGTCCCGGGGCACACGACTCCCCTGCACAAGCGGCCTGCACTGTGTGCTCAGTCTGAATTTTCTCTGCAGGTTTAGTGTGATAGTTTTGCCTAGGTTCTTAACTTAGTTCCTTGGATGGTTATAAAACACCAGTATTCCCAACATGAATGGGTGGGGTGGGCTCTAAGGGAAACCAACAGCCCACCAGGGTGACCCATGTCACGATGCTCCGTGCATCCAGCTACAGTGCTGCTGGCGGCTGTTGAATTTCGAGGATCAAGGTTGTAACTACAGTAGGAGATTTTAACTCTTCCCTTAAATGACAAATAGTGCACAAAAAACAAGTAAAAGCTTTCAGCTAACAACTAAGCTTGATCTTCTGTCCGTGGGAACACATGTAACTGAACCAGTAGAGCACCACCACCTTCTGTGCAGACCCAGGAGCGTCCTCAGTGGCGAGGACACATGGAACATGCCAAGGAAGCCCGGGACACGGTTGGACCCGGAGCCGGATGGGCCCCAGGTAGTGAGCTTTTGCCACCTGTGTCACTGTCATTCACAAGGAACCGTCTTGTATTTAGGAGCTTCTACCTGGCCCTCTACAAGCAGATGAGCTTTCTGGAGAAGCGAGGCTGCCCACGCACGGCACTGGAGTACTGCAAGCTCATTCTGAGGTGAGTCCCCAGCTCTGCCACATGTCCACCTCATGGCCACAGGCCTGTTGACGTCCACTGGCCCACTGGGGTTTTGTCTCCCTCTGCCCCCCCACCCCCCGTGCCGCCTTGGGAAGCCTTGAGCCAGATGAGGACCCCCTGTGCATGCTGCTGCTCGTGGACCACCTGGCCTTGCGAGCACGATGCTACGAGTACTTAATCCGCCTCTTCCAGGAATGGGAGGTAAGTGTGTGCGTAGGTGCCCGGACACATCTCTTCGCCTTTGCTAGCGCAGATTCTGTGTGCTCCAGGGTGGGTCTGTGACCCCAGGAGGTCCCAGGTCAGACCCCAAGTGTCTGCCTGTCTGTCTTCTTGCCACTGCTGATGCACTCACACAAGCACACATGCAGAGACAGTCCCGGGTCAAGGAGAGCTGAGCACACAGAGGACACATGCTGGGTCATGCTCACGTGTTTAGTAGGGTTCTTGCCACTGCTGATGCACTCACACAAGCACACATGCAGAGACAGTCCCGGGTCAAGGAGAGCTGAGCACACAGAGGACACATGCTGGGTCATGCTCACGTGTTTAGTAGGGTTGGAGGCCTAGAGATGCCCTCCCATCGTGGCCCGGCCCTGGAGGCCCTGCCCACCTGCTCCAGTGTCCCCCAGGTCTGAGCCGACACAGCTCCCTCGGTATAGTCTGCAAGGTGGCTGTGTGCTGAGGTGACGGTGTGTTAGATGCAATGGGTTAAATATGATGTACTGACATTGACTTCACCTGTTTTTGTTTTTGTTTTTTATGTCCCAAAGATAGTAAAGGAGGTTTATTTCAATTCAGCGATCATTTATAGAGTGGATTCTGTACTAGATCTTGGGGAACCAAAGATAAGACAAGGACCCTGACCTCAGTAATATTGGCAGGTAACAGGACTATACAACCAGAAGTGTAAATGTGACTTCACCTGTTTTTAACGTGGCTGTTAGAAAATTGGAACAGATAAATATGTGTGCTCACAGTGTATTCCTGTTGGATGGTGCCAGCTCGGGGGACACATCTGCCCCCTGGGTCATCTCTGGGAGTGGGACGTTGGATAAGGAGATGGCAACTTTTTTTCTTTATCTCTACATTTGAACTTTCCCACCACATGTGTGCATGTATAATCAGGAATGGTTTTGAAATCTGTACCATTTGGTGTAGTTGGCGAAGGAGTCCCAACCCCAAGATCTAGTTCAGAGGAGTTTCTGGGACTCAAACACAGCTACAGGGAGCCCCCAGGATGGGCCCACAGAGGATATCTGTGAGAGCTCGTGAGGCTCGAAGCCTAAGCCCTCGGTGCCACTCCAGCAGGGTGTTGCGCGTGTCTGTCCCGCGCGTGTAGGGCAGAGAGGAAAACGGCACCTGGCAGTCAGTGGGCTTGAGTGGTGGTGGGAGTAAGGCCACACCCGCCTGCTGGTGCTGCACGGCCATTCCCGCTGAGGCGCCGCGGACGCTCCTCCAGAGCTCAGCTCATGGGAAGGGGGCTTCGGTCTGCAGCCCCCCGCCCCTTGCGCTGCTGTGACTCGCTCACCCTTTTCCTTGTCTTTTCTGCCTGGAGACCCGCCTGCACCCACCCCTGCCCCTGTGATTTAAGTTAATCTCTTTTCAAAGCGAAAAGTACCTGTGCCGTCTCTGGCTCGTTGTGCGGTGTCAGAGCCCCCTGGATGTTGCATCTCAGGTCTTTGCCAGCTCAAAGCCCAACCTTCTTCACCCCTTGCAGCCTCATCGGAACCTCTCCCAGCTGCCGAATTTCGCCTTCTCTGTCCCATTGGCATACTTTCTGCTGAGCCAGCGCGCGGACCTCCCCGAGCAGCTCAGCCCTGAGAGGGAGAAAGCCTCCCTCCTGATCCAGCGGGCCCTCGCCATGTTCCCTGGAGGTGGGTGCGGGCCCCACGCGGACAGGAAGGCGCATCCTCACATTCTGAACAGGGTCCTCGCATTGGCCATAGCTCCCGTTTGGAGGCTGGAAGTGAATCAGAACTGACTTTGTTGTCACAGTGGCTTGGGGTTTTAGGATAAGTCTTTTGATAATGACAATTTGTTGGAGAAAAAATTGCATCCAAAGAAGACATGGCATTTTCTAGGGAGAGGGAAGCCAGAAGAGCCTGCTGGGCATCAGGGAACAAGGGCTGGGGGGTCCGAGTCCTAGAGCGAGGCTTTATGTTCCTGTCTTCAAATCCCACTTCTCATTGGTGTGGAGAACTTAGCGACAAGATGGTCCTCGGTCCTTGTGGAGAGCCTCCCCGCTCTCCTGTGGTCCCTGAAGTGGCAAGCAGGTCCTTCAGGCCCATCATCTGTGTGATGAGAGCTTCCAACGTTGTGAAAGGGGTCTGTGACCTGAGAAAGGAGCTCCCAGTGGGTCTGCTGTGTGCCAGACCCAGCAGGAGGCGGTAGCCAGGATCCACGCCTGGGGGCCCACACATCAGGACGAGGAGACAGGTGGTGGAATGCACTGAAGGGAAGCGGGTGTGTGGTGCTGGAAGAGAGCAAGGGGTGTCCAGGCGGAGGGCAGAGGCCCGAGGAGGTGGCCAGAGTAGGGCAGAGGGTCCCCATGACCGCCCCCAAGCCCTGCTTGCATGTCAGCCCAGCTCCGTCTGTGCACACATGGCTGCCTGGCTGTGTCTTTGGAGCACTGACCCTTCCCTGTGAGGGTACGTGGAGCTGGGAGGCCCCCATGGGCACTAGTAGTGTGGGTGGGAGGTGCTGGCCTGTGGTGCTATCACACAGCTCGTGTTGGGAGAGCCAGAGTCAGTGCAACCTCGTCAGCTCCAGGGTTCTGCCAACATCCCTGGCTGTGCGCAGAGAGCTCCATCCCTTGATGTGAGAGGCTGTCCCTGGGGTGTTCAGGGCAGGGGCCTCACGCTGTAGCAGAGCAGCCCCCGCTGCATCCGAACAGAGCAGCTGCAGCTCTGGACAGTCCAGGGAGGCTGGGCTCTCCTGCCAGACTCGACTACATGGGGAAGCACTGCAGAGTGGACTGTGCCAGGCTCTGCCCTAGGGGACTGGCACTTGGGGTCTGCACCCCACTACCCTGAGGGTAGGATATGTGGGCTTCAGGATTAGAACATACAGCTCATGGGCTTGGGGGTCATGGGTGAGCCCCCTGAGATGCAGATGAGGCCCCAGGGAGGCATCAGGATGACCCCCTCCCAAGATGGAAAGGCCTGGGGGGCTGGTGTGGGGACCCAGCCTTGCCCTGGGAATGCAGCCTCCTCTGGGTGCTGGCCTCCCGGGACTGTGGGTGTGACCAGGGCTTCCTGCCCGCCTGCCCGCTGGGCCTCTGCTCGCCCCGCAGCTCTCATGCCCTTGCTGGAGTACTGCAGCGTGCGGCCCGACCCTGCCGTCGCCAGCCACCACTTCTTTGGGCCAGACGCGGAGATCAGGTAGAGGCTGGAGAGGCCCCAAGGGGCACCGGGGCGTTTCCACCAGGACGTAAGCTGTGGTCACCATACGTCCCTGCCGCTGAGGCGTGGTGGCAGGACCGTTTCACTGCAGGAGGGCTGGGTCCCCTGTCCACATGGGGCATCGGGCTCAGTTAGATAGCTGGCCGACACATGAGCAGCCTGCTGCCTTGAGCACAAAGCTTCCCGCTGGGCAGAGGCCCGATCGGGCATCTTGGTTGAGCCTGTTGTCACTGCAGCCCTCACAGGGGTCCAAACCCCAGTACTTGCATGTGCTACCTTTTCCAAGATATCTCAAAAATAAAGAGAAACACATGATTAAGGGGGCCATCCCCCTGAGACCCTGTTAGTAAATCAGGGTGGGCCCTTCGGTGTCTGTGCAGGTGCATGTGCTCTTTCTCATGTTTACAAAGGACGGATATTTCTGCCAAGACCTTTGTGCCCCAACCCCTGGGCAACCACACAGCCCAGTCTGCACCCACCTCTGGGCAGCCTGTTCGGCACATCCTAGACACTCTCACAGGGTCCAGTGGGCATGCAGAGGCCTGGGCCGGGGTCTGCTTACAGGCCCCGCTCTTCCACAGCCAGCCCCCTGCTCTGAGCCAGCTGGTGAGCTTGTATCTCGGGAGGTCGCACTTTCTCTGGAAGGAGCCTGCCACCATGAGCTGGCTGGAAGAGAATGTCCGCGAGGTTCTGCAGGCGGTGGACGCTGGAGACCCCGCCGTGGCTGCATGTGAGAGCAGGTGAGCCTGGGGCCCACCCCATCACATGGACAAGGCCCGTCTGTTGTGATGGCAATCACAGCTATGGGCACAGGGCCAGGGTGGCTCCGTCCCCACAGCCGTCCCTTCTCCCGGGGCCTAGGCGGAAGGTGCTCTACCAGCACGCACCCAGAAACATCCACCGCCACGTGGTGCTCTCCGAGATCAAGGAAGCTGTTGCTGCCCTCCCCCCGGTAAGGGAGAAGGGCTGAGAACTGGAGCTCTGTGTGAGCCAGTCACATGCATGGGCTGCCCCGGGGGTCTGGGTCACATGCAGAGGCCCCTCCCCTCCCAGCCGGTTCAGATGCATGAGCCCTACCGTGGCTGGCTGTCCGTGACCTATGGGGCTAAGATCAGTGACCCAGCAGCCTGGCCTGGCAGGGAGGCCCTGATGCTGTGAAGGGCCTGGCGTGAGTGTTGATGGTGGGGTTCTGTGACACCCACCACACACGGTGTCACGATGGCTCCCGAGCACAGCAGAGTGAGTGTCCTGGTGAAAGGGCCATGTGTTCCCCTCCCTCCACATTTGTTAGTACATAGCTGAGGACTGTTTCTGTCAGACTCTGACCAACTGTCAGCAGAAAGGTCTGGTCCAGGGTGGACTCAGCCAAGGCTGCTGGAGGGGTCAGAGCCTGTCGCAGCTCCGCTCTGTGTCCCTTCCCGAAGGACGTGACCACGCAGTCTGTGATGGGGTTTGACCCTCTGCCTCCTTTGGACACCATCTACTCCTACGTCAGACCAGAGAGGTACCTCTTCCCTCTCATTTTGCTCCTTTGCTTACAGGCTTTGAGCCAGGGCCTCGGGGCTCACTGCCTCCTCCAGACAGGCTGTGGAGAAGAGCCGGGCTGGAATGGCAGACCTGCTTTTGCCGTCTGTGTTTGTCTAACGTAGGAGCATTTCTCTGCTAGGCCCTATCAGGTGCGCAGGTAGCTGGGAAGCAAAGTAAGATACCATGTGTGCTCATGGGGGCGCAGTGGGGAAGACAGATTGACCATGCACTCTAGAAACAGAATGAAAGCTGCAGTGAGGAACTGCCGGGAAGGAGTGTGGCTGGGCCTGAGGAGGTGATGGTCACACTGAGGCGGGAAGAACATCCCTCAGTCCGGCCGAGGGGGTGGCAAGGCTGCTCATGTTCCCGTGGGGAGTGTTGGCACGTGCAGGGCCCGGAGCACGCGGTACAGAACTGAAGGAACCCACCTGCTGGGCCAGGAGGGCTGCGGGGGCCACACAGAGCCTTTTTGGGGCTGCCAGTGATGGCGGACAGCTCTCAGAATTGTGTCACTGAAAGGCTTTTTCTGTTCTGACTTTTGGAGCTGAGTAATTACCCAGGGCCTATCATAATCAAGGTTGTAGATCTGAAAGATGCAGGTAGGCCTTTGCATTAAAGGAGCAGGTTTTTTCTAGATCTTGGGTAGGACACGTTATGTAAAGTAAAGCCCTTTTATTTTTCAAACGGTTACATTATAAAACTTGGCTTGTGTGTTCATAGTAAGATAGTTCACAAATTCTCCAGTAGATTGAAACGTCTAAATCTTAGTGTCATTGGGTTCCGCCTGGCACTGAGGAACAGCTGTGGTGGTTTGCCGCCTGAGCGTGGTCCACACCCCGCAGACCTTGGGTTCCCTCCTCCCAGAATCCCTTGAATGTCTGGTGAAGCTGGGCTGCAGAGCTGCACCTCGCCAGGGGCCTCCCTCTAGCGCCCTGGAATCCTCCTCTGTAGGGCCAGTGTGTGTGCCCAGCTCTGGGTGCTGACGTGGGCTGGAACCACAGCTCCTGTAGGCAGAGCACCCGTGCAGTGGCTCTTGTCCGACCTGGCCGCGGAGGGCCCTGCTCTTCGCCACTCGCTCATGGGGCCTGGTTCTGAAGGGCCAGCGCCCACGCCCCTCGCCAGCTCTTGCTGTCCTGTCCCTCCCAGGCAGGGGTGGGGTGCAGACGCATGGGTTCAGCCTCGTCTTCTGACCTGTCCTGACTCCTCTTCCAGGCTGAGTGCTGTCAGCCACGGGAACACAATCGCCCTCTTCTTTCGGTCCCTCCTGCCCAGCTACACCACGGAGGTATGTAGAGCCCGCTCCCACACCCTGCCGGTGGCTTCAGGCAGGGCCCTGGTGTTGCTTAGGGAGCTGGGCTTGCCCGACTGAGACCATTGCTGCCAGCTCAGCCAGAACGCCCCCAAGTCAGCGGGCTACTCCACCCTCCGATGGCCTGGTTGTATCCGAACGCAAGTGTTCCTTTTAGGAACTTGCTGTCCTTCCTCAACATGGTCCTGGGAAGGGCAGGGTGAGGCGCTGGGTCCAGGTCCCGGGACAGCTCTGCTCAGATGAGTCTCGTTGCTGTAGGGGGAGAGGACAGAGGACGGAGGGCCTGGAGGCCTGAACCACAACCAAGGCTTGAATAGGCTGATGCTCGCCCTTCGAGACATGATGGCCAACTTCCACTTCCACGACCTGGAGGCGCCACGCGAGGACACCCCTGAGGGAGATGGGGAGTGGGACTGAGGAGGGCCCACTCAGTCCTGTTCCCGATTGCTGTTCTGGTCAGGATTGGCCAGTCCCTCGGGTAGAAATGCTGATGTCGTCCACCTGCCACCCACCTCTATTCCTCTATAAACATGAAAGGGTTACTTGTGTGCCCACTTCTTTCCCTGGGTGGGGGTCAGTGCCTGGGGTGGGTTCCTTATTTCCCACGAGAGTCTGAGCCAGTCATGCCAGGTCAAGCCCAGCCCTGTGCCAGTATTTCTGCTACCATCCTGCCCTCCAGAATCTGGGGCGTGGAGGTAGGGGAGGGGTCCCACAGGTTTGCAGAGGAACATGCCAGCTGAACTCCCAGGCATGTGGTTCCAGTTGGACCTGGAGCTGGCTGGCCTGGGGCAGGAGGGGCTGATGCCAGGGCCCTTGGGCCTTGCAGAGGCAGAATCTAATTGGACAAAATGGTTTTATTGGGAAACTTGGCAGCACTGAGCTGGGGGACGCCTGGGAAGAGGGTTTCAGAAAGGACGTCATCCTGGCAGCTCTGGGGAACGTGGCAGAAATGAGGATGCACAGGGCACGAGGGGAGGGCTTCTCACCTGGGGTGAGTCTGGGCACACTTGACAACTCAGAGCCACACAGGGCTGCCCATGACTCAGAATCCTGTTTGGCTCTTGGAAGGGTCCAGGACACAGAGTTCATGAGCCAGCCCTGACTTCCACCCCCGAGAGGCAGCAGATGAGCAGTTAGGAGGAGGCGCTGCCTGTGTTCTCCAGAGTGGGATCTGGGCTCCTGTCCTGGTCAGTGTGGTGGGAGTCGTGGGCTCATCACCTCCCGTCAATGTCTGCCCAAGACCTGGCCTGTTGCCCTGCCTCCCAGGAAGCCCCAGATATGTCCTGGTCATCGACGAGTCAGCTGTCGGAGAGACTTATGAGGTCACCCTCTCAGCAGTTCCCAACTGGTGGCTGTCTGTTTTGGGGTCAACAGAAGCCTCTGTGCTTTGAATATCCATGGTGAGGACAGGCCTAGCAGACACCATGATGGCTGTCAGTATTCTCACCCACTCCTCATTCCTCTGTGCCATGACTGGATCCAGTGGGAGGGATTATGGTTGAGGTAATCTGAGCCCTGGGTCCACATATCCCCCACGAGGGGGGCCCTGTGGTGGACTTCAGTCTGTATAACAGGAGTTTGCTAGGGTTCTTCTGGGGAGGCCTCTCCCCAGAAAATGTCTTGAAAAATGACAGGCCTCTTACAGACTTAAATACATCCAAGTGGGGATGTGATGTTTGGAGCTGCAGCAGCCACCTTGAAACTAGCAGTTCATGGACCACAAAATGAAGAGCCAGTGTCATCCTAGGGGTGCAAAACGAGAAAGGTGGGGTCCAGGCAGAGATGGAACTGCTCACCTCCCAGTCACCAGTGCTCAGCTGTGCTGCCTGGGTCTATGTTCATGCTGGTGGCATGTTTCTAAAGCAGACGGGAAGACAGCCAGGCCCCATGCCTACACACCAGAGCAAAGGCTCAGCTTGCCACCCAGTATCCAGGCAAGGGTGAAACGGCTCCTCCCAGGCCATGTGCTGATGGGCAGTTTTGCTAAAGGGTAATGCCCTTTGCCAACCAAATCACTCCATCTTGGGGTCTTGAGAGTGGGCACCACAGGGTGGGCACACAAGCCGCTCCCTCCTCAAGCTGAAACTTAGACTTCAAGCGAAGACGCTGTGATCCAGCTGTGGGACGGGCCCCGAGATCCCGCCGTGACACGACCCAGGAGGAGCACACGGTAACACCTACAGGCTGATACTCGGGACCTTCGTGAAGGAGGCAGGGCCGGTGCCAGCCTGGGTCCTGGGGATCCGGCAGTGACCCCACCTCCCTGATGTGGCTGGATGCAGGCAGCCCCCCAGACTGCAGTGAGATAAGTTTTATGCCCCATGTAGCTCATTCTATCCCTGAATGCATGTTGTGGACCTACTGTGTGCCTGGCGCTGTGGACACCAGGGAATTGGTGGTTGGTTCTGGTTCTCACTGCCTCTTCACATTGGGGTCAGGCACATCTCCGGGTGATGCGTGCCGAGGGGATGGGCACCCCTGCCACCTGCCTGCTAGCCGTTCCTCAGTTCCCCCAGGTCACTAGAGGCAGTCGATAAAATTGTCCTAAGCATTGTGATTTCACTTAGACTTCACGCCATGACCATAACCAAAGACACAGTTGGCTTTTCCCAGCTCAGCTGTACCTGCTCTCTCCCTCCCACAAAGTCCCCACAGGCACAGCTGAGGAGAACAAGATGGGGCATCAGGAGGCCGCGCTTGGAAGAGGGTTGCTAGTTCACACACCTTTGAGGTCCCAGGCTGGGATGGGGAGGCTGAGGTACGTGTGTCCATCTCGGAGGCCTCGTTTATGGAGTCAGCAATACACCCTGGAACCGTGATGACATTGGAGCAGGAGACAAGGCACTGCCCACCCAGTGGGCTCTCCGTGCCTCCAGAGGTGGGAGAGGCCTGGATGGTGGTTCCTGGGGACAGACAGGCTGCAGGGGGAGGCCCAGGAATTGTGGGGCAGGGGCAGAGATGGCTTCCGGGTGGCAGTGCCAGCACAGCCTGGGATCAGGGTGGGGGCCCTTTGCTCCTGGGGCTTGCTACCAGGAGGAGAGAGTGGGAGGGAGCGTGCAGTCCTGGGCCTGGTTCTCGCGGAGCTTGGCAAGCTCTGTGTCTCATCCTCCGCACAAGGACTCGGGGGTCCTGCACTGTCAGGCACCGGTACAGTCCACCAGTTTGGAAGGTGGTTTGACCAAATCTGCCAAAGGGAGAGCTGTGCTTCTGACCACTCAGGCCCGCAGTTAGGCTCTGCCCAGTGGAAACAGGAGTGGCATCCACCAAGATGGGGTGGGAACTCCAGCAGACTAATAGGAAGATGGGAGCTGCCCGACGTGGTCTATTCATCAACAGCCGCTATGCACAGCTATGAGGGCGTCTCTGCTGCGCAGAGGAAGGTACAAACCCAGTCTCTGCATGGGAGGTTCCAGAACCAGCAAAGTTAAGCATTGCTCAGGGTGTGGCTCCCCCAGGGCAAGAGGCCGCCCAAGGTGCCCCTGGTCCTTCAAGTTTATTGATCAGTTGGTCTGGGTCAGTCCGACCTTTGATTTACTCTCCAGGCTGTGTTCAGCTAGCGACATTCATCAACCTGCATATCTGTAATCTGTACTTTTGTGTGTGATGCACTCAATAAAAAGCACGAAAGGGTGGAAAGAGCTTTGTAAGGTGTGCGATGCAGGTGTCAGGAGAGGTGCGTATTCCTAAGTGGGCACTGTGATCATGTGTGTGGGTGTGCGGGCACTGCCTGTCAGAGGCCATCTGGCTCTTGGTGGATTAGAGAACAGACTCCCAACAGGAATATCACAGATAACACACGCTTTCAAGAGCTCCCTTTAAGCTCTGCCTTCAGAAGACGGTTTGTGGTCCACACACGCTGTCTTCTGTGAGAAAGTGCTGGGAGTGCCCCAGTGAAGTGAGCACAGTGCCCGTAGGGCTATTCCTGACCTCCACACAGCTCGCATGGGACACCACGTGGCTGGAGACAGAGGTCCGCCCTTGAAGTGCCTCCTGGCTCGGGGCCTGTGGTGTCCTTCCGGTTGGGAAGCCACAAGGCTGCCTTCAGGTAGCTCTAACGTGGGGTGGGAAGTTACAGGTTGGGGTCGGGGGGATGGCCAAAAGCCAATGGCTATTCTTGAGGCAGAGATGCATCAGGCAGGTGCAGGGTTGAGGATGGCTTCAAGGAGCTTGGCAGTGTCTGAGAGGGGCCTGGAGGAAGGCTAGAGATCTTGGGACCGGTCCAGAGCAGACCCCATGCACGCAGACTCCTGGAGCAGAGGCCAGGCTGGCTCCAGCTGGCTAAGCAGGTGAGGCTGGCCAGACTGCAGTGGCTTTGAGCCAGAAGGTGAGACGTGCAGCTGTGCCCAGGAACCCGGGGGCCCTCAGAGCCAGGTCAGCCCTGGGTGCCATCTGCACCACCTGGCGATGGGCTGGGGAGCAATTTCGGGTGCACACCCATCCTGCGGCCACCCCCAGGAGGAGGGGCTCAGTGGAGGACTTTAAAGATTCCAAGAAAGGCTCCATTCTCTCCCGGGACCTTAGCCCACCCCTGGCCTGAGGACACAGGAGGCCCAGCTGACCAGGAAGTAGCGAGAGGCATAGGAACATCGGGACCCGAGCAAACACACCAAGGAAGAGGCGGGGAGGTCTGGGGACCTGGAGGTATCGGGGCTGGCGCTGCGGAGTCTGGGGCCCTGGCTGGGTAGCCGCCAGACTCCCGAGCAGAGTGGCCTCTCTGGCTGGGCCGTGCCAGGGCCGATGTTTGTCCACCTAGGGAGAGGGTAAGTGTGAGGTCCTAGGGGCCATGGGAGACTTGCAGCGGCACCGTGAGCTGAGTGGAACACCTAGAAAGGACCCTTTCCTGCTCCCTGGTGGGACCATGCCCGTGCAGGAGCCCCAGAGGAGGCTGCTAGGTGACCTCAACTCCACCTCCCCTGCCACCCCCCACCTCGGGCTGCCTGCCAACCAGACTGGGCCTCAGTGTCTGGAGGCGTCTGTCCCCGATGGGCTTTTCCTCAGCCTGGGGCTGGTGAGCCTGGTGGAGAACGTGCTGGTGGTGGCCGCCATTGCCAAGAACCGCAACCTGCACTCACCCATGCACTGCTTCATCTGCTGCCTGGCTGTGTCTGACCTGCTGGTGAGTGGGAGCTACGTGCTGGAGGCTGCTGTCATGCTGCTGCTGGAGGCGGGCGCTCTGGCCACCAGGGCCGCTGTGGTGCAGCAGCTGGAGGACATAATCGACGGGCTCATCTGTGGCTCCATGGTGTCCAGCCTGTGCTTCCTGGCTGCCATCGCCGTGGACCGCTATCTCTCCATCTTCTATGCACTGCGATACCACAGCATCGTGACTCTGCCACGGGCGTGGCGAGCCATCTCGACCATCTGGGTGGCCAGTGCCATCTCCAGCATGCTTTTCACTGCCTATGGCCGCCACAAGGCCACCCTGCTTTGTCTGGTCAGCTTCTTTCTGGCCATGCTGGTGCTCCTGGTCGTGCTCTACGCCCACATGCTCACCCGTGCATGCCAGCACGCCCGGGGCATTGCCCAGCTCCACAAGAGGCAGCGTCCCATTAACCAGGGCTTTAGCCTCAAGGGGGCCGCCACCCTCACCATCCTACTGGGCATTTTCTTCCTCTGCTGGGGCCCCTTCTTCCTGCACCTCCTGCTCATCGTCCTGTGCCCTCAGCACCCCACTTGCAGCTGCATCTTCAAGAACTTCAACCTCTTCCTCACCCTCATCATATGCAACTCCATCGTCAACCCCCTCATCTATGCTTTCCGCAGCCAAGAACTGCGAAAGACACTCCAAGATGTGCTGCTGTGCTCTTGGTGAGGGGAGGGGGCCTGCAGGCCCAAAGCCAGGCTGCTGGGCAGAGGGAAGTGGTGACATCATGTGGCCCAATTCCTGTGTGCCAGATAGGACAGGCTGACAGCATCTGGAGGTGTGGACACACAGGCCCTCTAGGACCAGAGAGGAATAAGGAATCTCCAGGAGGAGGTGTGGGGAATGCAGGAGGCTGAAGAGATGGTGGGTCACGGCAGACGTGCTGCCCACTGCAGCTCCATGGACCCACCCTCATCCTCCTTTGCTGCCAGCTCTGGGGTTTGTGCCTCTGCCCACTGGGATGTGAAGTCTGTGTTGGCAGCAAGAGTCCTCAGGAGTGCTGTTCCCAGGGAGGGCCTCTGGAGAAAGGACTGACCATCAAGACCTGGCCTTGCAGGGCTGCTCAGAAGGAAATAATCTGCATCGAGCAGGACCATGATTGCAGGAGTCACAGTGGGAGGGTGGAGCTGATACCTCCTAAGGCTCTGTGGGAGGGAGAGCTGGGCACTCAGCCCATCTGTGTGCACCCAGCAGATGGTGCCAGCCAATGCCTGTTTTCAAGGCAGAGGCTGTGGGTCTGAATCAGCGGCCAGTGCCCAGGGTCTCAGGGCCAGGAAGTGGTCTGGTAATAAATGCTCAATACAGCCTCATTGTCATCTGCCTTGGTTTCTTCCAGAAGCTGCTTGAAGCTTGAGAGCAGAGGAAGGGGGAAAGGATGGAGTGTGAGGGATGAGCAGGGAGATGTAAGTCCCCGAAACCATGGCTGGCCTGCCTAGGTGAAGAAACCACAGCCCCAGAGGATCCCCAGTGCCCGAGGCTTTGCCCAAGGGGAAAGCATGGAGACCCAAAGTGCACCCACTCTGATCCTGCACCTTTGCTCTCTCTCCATGGTGCAAACTCTAGCCCAGAGCAGCAAGAGTTAGGAGCAGCAGCTGCCCCTGACCAGGTCACCTCCGTGATGATGAGACTGGCACATTGTCCAGCCTGCCCTCAGCTGCAGCAGAAGCTGGGCCACCGTGACCCACTCGTGACTTGGACGAAGCGTGCGCCCCTCTTTTGGTCCTGCAGCCCCTCCTCCATGTCTGCTCTGAGGTGCCCCAGGGGCCCCTGGTGCAGGGGGTGCTGGGGGCTGCTTTCTCTAGCACTGCCCTCCTGGAAGCGGGGTCAGAGCTCAGCCAGCTCCGGGAGGTGTTTGAAGCAAGGCCTCCCACAGTGGGGTGAGGCTGCCCAAGGACTGCAGGGAGTGTCCAAGTACCGGAGAGTAAGCATCTGGGGCGCACCATGTGGCCTGGTTTGGGAGCCCTTGGGTCCTCCCTCTGCTGCAATCCTGGGCTTCTTCCTGAGGAGCCCACCTGGTATCCCCCACAGACACTGAGCATAGTCAAGCCCCTTCCTGGCACAGTCTCAGTGGAGGCAACGGTGATGGTACCAGCTAGCTCACAGGCAGGCTAGTAATGCCTGCAGCCCTTGCAGCCCCCTGACCAGCCACCCCAGCTCTGTCCCTGCCAGTCCCCACCCACGCTGGCAGCTCTAGCCCTGACTGCCAGCCACGGAGCTGGGAGCTGGTTCCCAGCAGGGCCAGCCTTTGCTGGGAGACAAGACAGTGAGTCAGCCTTGAACCTGGCACCAAAGCCCTCTGGGGATGGAAGGGGAGCTAGCCTGGCCCAGTGCCAGCCTGCAGGGAGGCAGGGCAGATGGGTGATGGGTCCTGGCCGACAGGATGCTGCAAAGTTTCTTTTTTTGCTCAGAGAGGCACAGCCGAGTCCTGGGAAAAGCAAAATGCTCAGCAAGGGCCCCCCTGACCAGGGACTGGGAGGGGCTCCAGGTGGCCAGAAGCCAACCACAGAAAGCCACATCATGGACATATTGTGGGGGAGGGGTGTCTCCTGAGAACAAAAGATCCATTTCTAGACTTGTCAAACTGGGGAGCTTCAGGAAGGGAAAGAGAGGGGCACATACAAGGCACGACAGCACACCCCTGGGGACACAGCCTGGACAAAGGCACCCGTGGTCTGCTCGATCTGCTGCTTGTAGGACGTCCACGCACTGTGGCTGAGGTCCTTCCTGAAGGGTTTGTTACTGAATCATCAGAAGGACCTGTTATGAGATGACTCCTTTGTCATGTCTGACCCCAGGAGAACATTAAGCCAGTGGTATATGTATGTGTAATGCAAGGTTTGTGCTCCGTGTCCACTTCACACCCTCCTTTCTCCTCTGAAACGAGGACTCTGTCTCAGTTTGCCCCTGATGCACATACTCCCCACATAGCCACCCCCCTCCATGTTTCGTTGGCCTCACTGGAACCAAGGGTCCAGGGGTCCAGGGGTCCAGGTGACATCAGGGAGCGAGTCAGACGGAAGCCACCGCCCGCCATCCCCTGCCCTATAGATCCCTCGGCTGACTTGTGTCCTTATGACCACTCCTGACACCAGTATTCCTGAGCAGCAGCTACGGCTTGGTGGCGTGACTCGTGGGGCCGAAAGCATCCCCACATCCACAGGCAGGGTCCATCTGGAATCTCATGGCAGCCCCCCGGGTAGGCGGCGCAGGTGGCACCCCCACTGCAGAGGACAGTGACGCTCCAGTGCCTCTGGAACCTGCCACCGCCCTCCCTCCCTCCCTCACAGCCGCTCTACGCAGACGTTTCTGAGCCCTGCCCTGCTTCCTTCTCCAGCGTTCAGCAGCTCAGCCTTTTCCTGCGCCCCCACCCCTAAGGATCCAGCGGAGTCCGGAGTACCTTGTCTGTCCCTTCATGCCAAAGACGCGGGGTGGGAGGCGTCCATCTCGGCCCTTCGGGGTGGGCATATGGGGGTGGGTCCCAAAACAGGTTTGCAAAGAAAGACCCTCTGTGCAAAGCTACGGGGCGGGGCCCGAGGCCAAGGGGGCTCCCATTGTCCCCCCGGAACCAGCCCCCTCCTTCTGCGGCGCGGGGCCCGGGGCCGAGGCTGCAGGCCGGTGCCGCATTGGCGGCGGCGCCCCGATTGGCCACGCGGAGACGCCGCCCGGGCGCGGCGGGCGGGGCTCGACCTATAAGTGCGGGCGGCGGGGCGGCCGACTCTCCGCAGCCAGCCCGCCGTCCGCGCGCGTCCCGCAGCCGCCGCCCCACGCCCGAGCATGAGGGAGATCGTGCACATCCAGGCCGGCCAGTGCGGCAACCAGATCGGGGCCAAGGTGAGGCCGCGCGCCCCCGGGGGAGGGAAGCGGAGAGCCGCACCCGGAGCCACGCTCGCTCTTCAAGCAGAGAACAAAGGGGTCCCCCTGGGTCCCCGCCCTGCCCGCGCCGTGCCGCCGCCTTCTGCCCCTGCTCGGTAGCCTCGGGCGGGGTGCGCAGCGCGGCGATGCAGCTGGGGCCCTGTTGGCCGTGGCCCTCGTCGTTGGGGTCGCAGCTCAGCCTTGATCGAGATGGGGCCGGTGGGCATTTTGGGTAGGGCACCGCCCTCGAATCCATCGTGATTCCCCGGGGACAGGATCTGACAACCTTTGGTTTCTTGGCCCCACCCTGTCCCTTTGTTGGGGGAGGGGTTGGGCCCGGACACGGGGTGACCTTGGTCCAGGACTGGACTGTCCCTCAGCGTGGCCCCGCCTGGGCAGCCACCCCCGTGGTTGGACGTCGTCCACACAAGGTCTGCCGATTCTGGGGTTGGACTGTGGGAACAAAGCCGGACTCGGGTGGAGACGCGCATCACCGCATCCCCATTGTTAGCCCACCTCACAGATGTTGGGACTGAATGCAGTTCCCACGCGTACCCAGGAGACAGAGGTCATGTCCCCAAGTCTGGGAGGTTGTCCTTTCCTAAGGTCACACGCTGCCTCCGGCTCTCCGTCCCTCAGACGTCCAGCGCGGGGCTTGGACTGGGTGGGTGGGGCCTGCTGGCCCGGGGGTCCGCTCGGAACAACGTGGGAAGGGGTGGCTTTGTCAGGACCAAGGCCAGTGACCCAGGGAGGGGACGGGTGCGAGCTTTTTTCCTGTCGGAGTCGGTGGGAGGAGACAGGTCCTGGAGGGGAAGGGGCCGAGGAAAGGCGGCCTCTGGAGGATGTTGCCATGGAAACCAGGCAAGAACAAAAACCTAATTACCACAGGGCTGGTGCGGCCACGTGGCTGAATTGTAAATTGCAACTTGGGCTCTGGGGTGGAGGTGCCTGGGATGCGGGGCGGGGGCGGGGCGAGCGGGGGTAGCAGCGGGAAACTCCCTGATCCCAGCAGACGCTGTGCCTACCCGAGGAAGGGTGTAGGGGAGGGGCAGGCCTGGGGGTCGACGGCTTCAAATCAAATCCGGGCTCCTGGGGCAGTCACCGACAGCTGCCCCGGCCCGGTGGGAGGGGCCAAGGGCTCATTAACGTGGTCTCGGGGGCCCGGGCAGTCCTGAGCATCTGCTGCTAGGAGGGTCGCGGGTCACTGCAGGGAGGGAGGACGGCCCCGAGTCCGCCTGTGCCCGCGGGAATGAATGGTGATCCAGTGATGCCCGCTCCTATGTCGGGCGAAGGCTGGTCCGCACCCAGGCCGCGGCTCAGTGAGGGGCGGGCAAGGCAGAGGCGGAGGCCTGAGTGCGGAACAGTGTCCTCAGCAGACATTGTTCTCCTGCCTCTCAGGTCTGTGGCCCTCGGGTTTGCGCATTACTTTTTTTTCCCTTTTGGGTTGATTTTCTTAAGTTATGTTTGTTTTTAAAAATTATTATCTGATCCTTTCTAACAGTTCAAACGGGAGAGGTGTATTTTGGGTGGAAGGAATGTTTCTTCCCTTTTCCATCGGTGGCCTCTACCGTGACCCAAGGGTGGACGCCGTCGAGCAGCTTCTTTACAGCACGCTGCCCTGGAAAGTCTCCAGAGGGCAAACCCGAAGAAAGCAAAGCCCCTGGGCCAGGCACGGGTGGGGATTTTGCCTGCCCCGCCGGTGCTGGCCTCTGCCCTACCCATGCACCTTGACCATCTCAGTGTCCCACTCCCATGCTGTTGTGGGCACCCTGGTGAGGGAAGAGCAGACTTTTCCTGTCCATCACCAGCAACAGATGACTGGGATGGGCAGAGAGGCTGCTTTCCCTTTTGGGGTCCTTGCCTGGCTCAGTGGTATAGGTAGTGGGCTTTAGGGCGGGGCCTGGTTGTGAGGGATGTAGGGAGGGTTGGGCGATCCGGGGCTGGGGAGAGAGCACGCCTCTGCTCAGAGGTGGCACGATGGCATTGACGACTCGGGACAATGACCACTACGTGTTAGGCACTGTTCTGCTGGGTGCATGCATTCTGCACATCACCTCCCAGGGATGAGGCGGGAGCAGGCATCGCCCTTCCCCCAAAGAGAACGAGGTTCGGTGATGTTGAGGCACCTGCCCCGGAGGGACAGGGAGGGAGTTTGAGTCTAGGGGTGAATTGGTACGTCAGGATGGGCAAGGGTCTCCCGAATCCCCACAACGGGGGAATGCGTCCGAGGACACCCCCCTTCCATTCCCCGCCCCTAGTGGGGCAGGGCACCCCTGGAGCCTTTGTCTGCGCCCCCCGCCTCCCGGCCGCTGGGCGGGGCCTCGGAGGGGTGGGGCCTTGGCCCTGACTGCCGATGGGAGGAGGGATTCCTGGTTACCTCGAATCCGCCCCCTCTCCCAGCCCCTCCTGGGTCTGGGTGGTGCTGGCTGTGCGCCGGTGGGAAAAGGCATGGGGTCCTGCCAGGGCGCAGCGCCCCTGATGTTTCCAGCCCTCCATCTGGGGGGCCACTTACCCGCTCCGGAGCGCGGCACGGAAAGGGGTCAGCACCCTGGACAGCGCCGAGGGCGCAGGACTGGGACCATCCCTGCAAACGCCGCCGTGGGGTCTGAAATAGGAGACCTGGTGTGGGCCCACGGCCATCTGGCAGTTGTCTCATCTGTAGTGATAATCACAATTACTTAATTGGCGAAATTGCACTTTATCGCTTATTAAATGTTACATAATATATTTCAATAATAAGCTGTTCGTTAATTTTACATTACAATTTTTATTTGTTTTTAATTACAAAGGCATTAATATATTCTCCTTAAAAACTGAAACGTTGCAGATAAGGCTAAAGTTTCTCGTTAACCAGTTCACCCCTCCTTCAAGTGGGACAAGCTTGTTTTCCATTTTTCCAGTCTGTTACCTGTGCATGAGCACCTATGCATCACTGTAGAAAAATACAGCATCTACTGTGAGGTTTCCTTTTTTACTATACATATCATTGTGCAATGTGCCTCTTCAAGCTTCAAGGACGTGTCTTGGAGAGCTGCTTATATCAATAATGATCTTTTACTGCATCACAGTATTCCGAAGTATAGTGATTTTTAAAAATTACCTTTTATTTTTATTTGTTACCCATGCATGTGGCTTCACAAACTTAAATAGCATCTAAGGCTTCTTAACTCACCGAAGCAGACATTTGTTGAATGCTTTTAAGTGTCAGGCCTTTCACTAACCACTTGGTGTAGGTACCAATAACGTGTCCACTTTGCAGATGAGAAAACTGAAGTCCTGAGTGGTGAAGTCACCGGAACATACTGGCTGGTGCTGGGATCTGCCCTCACCCTGGTCCATTGTTCCCCCAGGAGGCCATACTTTCTATAGATGCGTTGATGGCACCACTGCTGAGTCACTCCCCTGGCCTCACACTTACTGTCCCGAGCTCATCCCTCCTCTACAGGGGCTGTGGGTGTCCCTGAAGCCAAGGGCTCTGGGTGTCCCAGGGCTGCGGGGACCAAGGCCCCTAGTCCAAGCGCTCAGACAGCCTCAGGGCTAAGGAGGGCGAGGGGAGCCGAGGAGTGGTAGGAAGCTCTGTTCAGGCCCTGAATGCCTCAGTCACATTTCTGTGTGTTTATTTTTTCTTATTCTAAATCAATACACACTTAATGCAAAAAGGAAACTTGATGATGACAAAAATGCACAAGGGAGGGAAGAAGTCCACCCAGCCGCCACCCTCACTGAGAGATGGTCCCTAATAGTCTTTCTGGGTGAGCTGCCAAGACTATTCTGTGCAGTTTATAATAGTGACACTGTTCATACTTACCAGTTGAATTTATTTTTTAATCTTTTTTTTTGAGAAGTTAACATGTGTGTGTGACAAAGAATTCTACAAGAAGCAAGGGAAAAGGAATTTCTCCCCCAGCCGGGGACCATATTCCCAGTCAGAGCTGCCTGGAGCAGGTTCTGTGTGCCTCAGAGACGGCCGTATACAGATCGGCACGTGCAAGCTGGTTTCTAGCTGCTTCACCGAGCAGTCTTTTCTCCAGTACATGGTTCACACGCAGAGGCCTCCTCCTCGAGGTCTCCACACACGTTCATCTTCTGAAGTCACCGCGACCCTGAGTAGCAAAGAAGGTGCTGGGAAGTCAGTCGTAGCATGTGACCAGTGACCTTGCCTCTGTGGGCTGACTGCTCCCTGCCAGCCTGGGAGTGCCCTGGGGGACTGGGGGGCAGAGTTCAGTGCAGCCTGCACCCAAGGGTTGTGTCTTCATTGCATACATATGTGCTAATAATCCCACAGCACTCAGCATCCATCTTGCCTGTTGACAGGCTTCACATGATTAACTTGCTTTATTCCCACAAAGACCTGTTTTCATCATCAGGCACACTGAACAGATGTGGTCCCCATGGCACAGAGAGTCTTCGGGGCCTGGCCAAGGTTAGACATTTGGGAAGGGGAAGGCCAGTTCCTAAGTCTCAGCCCTGCTCTGGGCTCTCCTGCCCTCCACAGTGGGAGCAGAGTTTGAGAAGCACTGTGGGTCCTGCCCAAGTGGGAGCAGGGCGGGAAGGCACAGGCAGTGCGGAGAGCAAGTCCTGGGCGCTGAGCCTGTGCTGGCTCTGAGGACAGGCTGGGCAACCCCAGGCAAGTCTTTTCCCACTTGGGCCCCTGTGGTTCTTGTTGGCTGAGGCAGACCCTGACACTGAGGGGCACGCATATCCTGGATTCTATCTGTCAGTTACTGTGGGCAGCTCTTTACCATCTCTGTGCCTCAGTTTCCTCATCTGAAGAAAGGGAATAATGGAAACTACCCCAAGAGGGAATTTATTACCAACCCCTCATGGAGAAGTGGCTTGTCCAAGGCCCCTGATCAGCAAGTGCAGAACTGGGTCTGTGTCTGCTGAGCCCTGAACCAGCCTGGGGTCCTGGTCGCTTTGGATGTGCATGTTTATTGCAACAATTTTCTGACAGATGACAGAGTGTGGGGCTCTTTTCTGAAGTCACTCAGAGGAGCTAATGCCGGCTTTGGGTCCAAGCCCCTAATTTTACACCTAGGACTACAAGGCCATGGGAGGGAAAGGGCATTTGGGCACTTCTTCAGGCCTGACCACTTCATCTTCAGTAAGGTTCCACTGTCCCACACTCTGGTGACAGACCCCATCACAAGCAGATCAATAGAAAAAAGCAAAGTCACCCCTCACCATGGTCTTTCCCTCCTTTCCCCCCAGTTCTGGGAGGTCATCAGCGATGAGCACGGTATAGACCCCAGTGGCAACTATGTTGGAGACTCAGACCTGCAGTTGGAGCGTATCAGTGTCTACTACAACGAGGCGTCTTGTGAGTCCCCAGCTCCCCATCCTTGACCTGGAGGGAGGGGAGGGAGGGCACTTTGACTGCTGGATCCCAGCATCTCTACCCACCTATTGGTTGGCTGGCAGTTATAGACCAAAGACTCACAGAATAAAGACAAGGAATCCCAGTGACTGCCATCAAACATGTTTAATGGCCAGGAGACAACCAGGCCCCGCCCTAGAGCCCACTACCCGTACCCGTATGCACAGCCCAGAGGAATGGACAGGGCTTGGCAGAGTCCTGAAGGCCCCCTCAGAGGTCCACGGGAGGGACCCAAGCAGGGATCAACTGTAAGGGGGCTCCAGCAGGAGCTGTTGAGCAACCTGTGTAAAATGATGCCCACAGTGAACTGGTGAAGTGCTAGCCGGCCCAGGTAGGCGCGGGTTCTGGTCCTGTCTGTCCATGGCGCTGAGTGTGATCCCCATTTTGATGTAGTTCTAGCCTCTTTGACCCGAGTCTGAGTTCTTAATAGCTAGAGCAGAAGGCTGGCAGGCCAGGGCAGGGTTTAGAGAGGAGGGGTGTCTGAGCCTCTGTCACCCACATAACCCAGCCCTGTCCCCTCAGCTCACAAGTATGTACCTCGGGCCATCCTGGTGGACCTGGAGCCTGGAACCATGGACAGCGTCCGGTCAGGGGCCTTTGGGCACCTCTTCAGGCCCGACAACTTCATCTTCGGTAAGGCCCCACTGTACCACACCCTGACGGCAGATCCCATCACAGGCAGATCCAGAACAGCAGAAACAAGAGCAAGGTTGCCCCTCGCCGCCGTCTGGCAGAGCAGAGCTGATCTCCCCAGCGGGCAGTTGGCAAGAGACCCACAGGGTTCTGTGCAGTAAATAGAAACCACACGTGTATTTCAGTATGAGTGACATATAAAAGAATTAAGATAACAGGATTGTCAGCTGGTGGGACAGAAGTTGGGGTTTCTGGAGGACTGGCTCTGCGGGAGCACAGCCACTCCGACGGCAGGACTGCAGGGCTTGGCTCAGCAAGAAGAAGAGGGCTGCATCCGGCCTCTGCCTTCCGGAGCTCAGAACCCCGGCCGTGCGCATCGATCCACACCCAGACCCTGAGCTGCAAGGGATTCGAGAGGCTGCAGTTCATGCTTCCGGCAGGGCTGGACAGAGGGTGGAGGTGGGCTGGAGGGGATGGACTCACCCAGGATGGCCTTAAGGCAGAGGCCACTCCAGGTTCTCAGTGCCTGTCCAGAGCACTTAACACTGGGCACCAGATAGGTGGGTCTCCAACGCAGCATAGCTGATGTGGGGAGCCTGGAGTGAGAAGCTGGGGGCACCCTTACTTCATAGATGGGAGCAGGCACTGGAGGTCTGACGGTCTGTCTATCCGCCCTGTCTGCAGGTCAGAGTGGGGCTGGCAACAACTGGGCCAAGGGCCACTATACGGAGGGCGCCGAGCTGGTGGACTCGGTCCTGGACGTGGTGCGCAAGGAGTGTGAGAATTGCGACTGCCTGCAGGGCTTCCAGCTGACCCACTCGCTGGGCGGGGGCACCGGGTCAGGGATGGGCACGCTGCTCATCAGCAAGGTGCGCGAGGAGTACCCCGACCGCATCATGAACACCTTCAGCGTGGTGCCCTCGCCCAAGGTGTCCGACACGGTGGTGGAGCCCTACAACGCCACCCTGTCCATCCACCAGCTGGTGGAGAACACCGACGAGACCTACTGCATTGACAACGAGGCGCTCTACGACATCTGCTTCCGCACCCTCAAGCTGGCCACGCCCACCTACGGGGACCTCAACCACCTGGTTTCGGCCACCATGAGCGGTGTCACCACTTCCCTCCGCTTCCCCGGCCAGCTCAACGCCGACCTGCGCAAGCTGGCTGTGAACATGGTTCCCTTCCCCCGCCTGCACTTCTTCATGCCCGGCTTTGCCCCACTCACCGCCCGGGGCAGCCAGCAGTACCGCGCCCTGACGGTGCCCGAGCTCACTCAGCAGATGTTCGACGCCAAGAACATGATGGCCGCCTGCGACCCCCGCCATGGCCGCTACCTGACTGTGGCCACCGTCTTCCGTGGGCGCATGTCCATGAAGGAGGTGGACGAGCAGATGCTGGCCATCCAGAGCAAGAACAGCAGCTACTTCGTGGAGTGGATCCCCAACAACGTGAAGGTGGCTGTGTGCGACATCCCGCCCCGTGGGCTCAAGATGTCTTCCACCTTCATCGGCAACAGCACGGCCATCCAGGAGCTGTTCAAGCGCATCTCGGAGCAGTTCACGGCCATGTTCCGGCGCAAGGCCTTCCTGCACTGGTACACTGGCGAGGGCATGGACGAGATGGAGTTCACCGAGGCCGAGAGCAACATGAACGACCTGGTGTCCGAGTACCAGCAGTACCAGGACGCCACGGCCGAGGAGGAGGGCGAGATGTATGAAGACGACGAGGAGGAGTCCGAGGCCCAGGGCCCCAAGTGAGGCAGGTGGAGGGGTGGGGCCGGCTCACAGCCCAGCCGCGTAGCCGCCGGCGCCGCCCCCAGCCGCACCGCCCAGAGCCCCCGGTCTGTCCCTCCGGCATCCCCGCCCCGCGGGAGTCCGCCCCGCTCTGTCTTCCTGCGATAGTCTTTGCCTTCCTCGTGTTACTCGTTTGTCTCTATTGATAGCTCCAGGCCCGATGTCTTAGGTTTGTTTTGTTTTTTTACTGGTTTGTGTTTATATTTTGAGGGGAATACTTAATAAATTTATTGCTGTCAGATACCCTGCCTGGTGCTGGATATTTCTTTTTATTCTAAAGTTTGGGTCCAGAAGAATGGGGAGGGGTGGATGGGGAGGGCCAGGTCGGGGCAGGGAAAAGGGTCATTACTCCCAGGCTGGTGGCTGAAACAGGGCTGTGCCTGGACCTGCAGGTGTCCTGGAAGTGGGGCCAGAGCAGGAATGGGCCAAGCCTGGTTGAAGCCTCATCCAGAACCCCAGGCATGGCTCTCCTGTGACTTGGGAACAATCCCTAGACTCCTGTAGGGTGACCACAGTCCAGAGCTTTCCTCTGGCTTATCTGTGTGCTGTACATTAGAGGCAGGCAGCCCAAGACCCACACTGGAGGTAGGAATGGGGGCCTTGACTGGTCCCCATGACAATGTGGCATGTTGGGGGGTTGAGCCCTGGGCCTTCCCTCACTGGCGGGTCGGGAACAGTGTGTGGGCCCCATGTGCCCCCTGGCGGTCATTTCCTGTGGCTGCAGGGCCCCTGGAAGGAGCGGACCTGCCTAGAATGAAGCAGAGACCCAGGGAGGCCTTACCTGCCATCCTACCATGAGCCTACGCGGAGCATGGCTGGGCCCAGACCCCTCCCCAGTCTGCCTTCCCTCACCCCACCCCCTGAGGCCAACGGGTATTTGCCAAGCTTAACTACTTGTGGGACATGAAAGTCACTTCCGCACTTCATGCGGGTGTTAGTGCAGCTGAAGTGGGCTGGGGGGACTCTGGCCCTGAGGCACTCCCACCTTTGGTGTGCTCTGAGCAAGTGGAAAGCAAATGCCAGGAACTGGTGCCTGCTTTGCACCAGGCTGGCTGTGTTCACCACCACGAGCCCTGTGCTACCCCACCTCACCCACAGGGCGGCTGAGTCATGGCATGCATGACTGAGGAGGCCACGTGGTGCGTGGGCCCCGGCAGCTGGGTCCTGGGTCCTCACCATCCGCATCCCTGGGGGATCCAGGGGCAGCTGGCCTCCACACAGCGGGGTGGAGTAGGGGGCTGGCCACAGCTCTGGTGCTCAAAGGGTTCCATAGCCAGAAAGAGTTGAGAGTCTTTGCAGTGTTGAAAAAGTCCGCCTGGCTCCTGACACCCACAGATGTCATGCTAAGTTCTCTGTTTTCCCTGGCCCTCTGATGAAACCCCGGTGATGCTGTGAGGTACCATCATCACTGTCCACATTTTATAGGCAAAGAAAAAGAGGCTTGGAGAAGTGAGGACATGTGCCAGCTGGCAAGAGGCAGAGCTGGGGTCTGGCCCAAGGCTGTGTACCTCTCTCTCCACTTTGCCTAAAGTGGTCCAAAAACAAACTCCCCTCCTGAGCTCCTGCATCCACAAGAACTTCATCTTTGCTCACGTCATTCAGATGAACCTGGCCCCTTGGCCTCCCTGTCTTTGTGCAGTTGTCTTCAAGGCCAATCCCTCCGTTCCTTGTCCACCCAGACCTGCAGTCTACCTCCAGCAGTGAGAGGTGCAGACCGTGGTGGTGGGGACGTGGGCAGGTGCGGGGGCAGGAGCTTGCACGCCCACCCCAGCACATCCCTGCCGCTCCTCTCCTGGGGGTGGGGTCTCCTTTCCCAGCCCCTCTTCAGCTGGTTCGCCCCCATGGGTCTTTGGTTGCCCTTTCTTATGAGGAGCAATTCAGTTCTCTCCTGTTTCCCTTGATTGTATCTGCTCCTCACCCTATACTGCAGACATTGTGGAGCCAGTCCTGTGCCCTACATGAATTCCTGACCCACAACATCCTTGGCATGATGAAATGGCTGCTGCTTCATGCCACCTGGTTGTTATGCAGTAACAGAAAACAGGAACATACATGGCAAGTATCTAGAGTAGCACACGGCCCATAATAAGGACCATATGTGCTAGCTCTCACATGCTTCTGTTCTTATGAGTGAGGGGAGTCTCTGTGGGGATGCATGGCCATGAGAGAGCGGGAGAAGCTGCTCAGCAGATGCTCAGTCCCACAGAACCTCCTAGGAGGGCTCTGGTCAGCCTGGGCACTATCCAGTGTGGATGGTCCTACTGGGCGGCATTTTGGGCCAGCCACCTCTTTGGATGTTTTTCCCTTAGCCCACCTGTCTATTTCAGCCAGTGTGAAGGGCTGGGGGCAACCGGGCCTGGGCATATTCTCAGCCCTGAAGTGGAGAAGTCTTAATCCTTCCTGTGCCCTCCGCCTAGCATGCAGAGGGCACTCAGGGTCTAGGGGATGACCTTACACCTAGGCGTAGGGTGCCAGAGCAAATGCAGGATTCTCAGTTAATTTGGAATTTCAGATAAACAAGAAATAATATTCCACTTTGGGGCATGTTAATATTCAGCACTTATTCCTTCGTTACTAAATCCAGTAACCCTAGGCTGGAGTCCTTAGCAGCTCTGAAGCTGGGCCTGTCCTGGGGAACAGGAGGTCTTGAACTCTTTATTCCACCCACTTGTCTGTTCCTCACAATGCTGCGAGGTAGAGGCTCAGAGACGAAGGGGCCAAGGCATACAACCACCATAGGAAGCCCACGGGAGGCAGTTGTGCACAAATGTTTACAGTAGTTTTATTTGTGGTAGCAAAGGCTGAGAACAGTCCAGATGTTCAAACCAGGTGAACAGATAAAACTGACTGTGGTGCACCCACATGGGGACCAACCTCAAAGTAACTATGCTGAGTGTAAGGTGCCAGACTAAACAAGAGAGCGGACCACAAGATTCCGCTTCTTAAAGTTCTAGAAAACACAAGATAGTGACAGGAAGCAGATCAGTGCTTGCTTGGGGGGTAGAGGTGCGGACAGAGAGTGGGGACCGTGTGGGGGCTGGAGGAATGTCTGAGGACAGTGGCTAGGTTACTATCTTAATTATGGCCACTTTTCCTCAGCTGTGTGCAAATGTCAGATTGTACACTTACATGTCCCTTATACTTCAGTAAAGCTGTGAAGAAAAAAGAACTCCCCAATGACTCCTATCTCACCACAAACCAAAGGCAATGTGTTTACAAATGGCCCACATCCTCCCTATTCTCCAGACCTCTCCTCTCACTTCACTTCTACCAGGCTTCCCCCTTCAGCAAACTCCAGCCACAGTGACCCATCCTCTGCTCCTCAGGACCTTTGCAGCTTCCCTTCTGGGTGCTGTTCGCAGCTTATCCATAGTTCTTGCCTTCTTACCTTTTAGGTCTTGGCTGAGTACAGTGTCGTCTTCCCCTGACTTTGTCCACTACCTTCTTAGTGTGCATCACATCTCTTATTAAGTTGCATCTTTGCTTATTATCTTTACGGCTTCTTGAGTGTTGGGATCTTGCCTGACTTCTCACTGCTGTGTGTCGGTGGCTCCGTGCAGCAGACACTGATTCGGCCCAACACCTGGGGCTAACCACGTTTGTGGAGTGGGCCCCGTCCAGGCGGACTGTCTTCCTCTCAAGGCCGTACTCCCTTGGGGCCTCATCAGGTGTCCAGGCAGTTATTGGCTATAAATCCATGAAGAAGGCAAACAAAACCCTGGCTTGCAGCCATAGCTGGGGGTGTAGGGTAGTGGAGACAAGTCAAGACAGAGGATGGCAGACTGGTGGCAGGACTTAGTTAGACAAGGCAGGGCATTGAGCAGCTGGGAAGCGTTACTGTAGCTGCTCCAGACACAGGCGTCCCCATGCTCCCCGCCCTATCCGCACCGTGCCTCAGTTTCCTCCTCTGTAAATGGGGTCCCTCCCTCACCAGCTGTGAGCACCATGCTGGTGGTGCCGGTGGAAACTAGCACAGGAAGCCTGCACGGTGCCCCCACTTCCTTTTTTTCTCCTCAGCCACTGGGGTTTAAAAAGTTAAATACCATCAGTTTCTTTTTGAGTGTTGTGGTTTCAAATTAAATCACGACTTTTGTGATCATCAAAACTCTAGGAAATGGATCCCCCACCCCATGCCGTCCACACACAGTCTTGAGCAGGCGGCCTGACGTGTCGCCCATTTCCCAGAGGGGGATGTGGAGGCGGGGCCTGGGGGACCTGCTCCGGAGGCCGGCATGTCATGAGCCTCCGGGCCACAGGCGGCAGCAGCGGCCCGGGGCCGGATACAATGTAGCCAGGGCGCCGGGCAGGTTACGATGTAGCGAGGGCTGCAGGAGTCAGGTGAGCGGCAGAGGGGCAGCAAGGGCGGGCAGGTGAGCGGCGGGGGGCTGGGGTACAGAGCACGGGGGCGCTACGCCCTCAGGGACTCACTCTGCCCGCCGTGTCCTGGAACTCAGGGAGCTCCTGTCTGGACACGGACATCAAGGGCGCAGGGGTTGAGGGACCCGCCCAAGGCCCTGGCCTGCGCCCCAGCAGGGTTCAGACCTGCCAGATGGGGACTCCCACCTCCGGTCCTCATTGGGGGCTCAGGGGGCATTGATGACCTCAGCTGTTCCAATCCCGCCCTCGCAGGGCTTAGCACCCCAGAGGAGGATGCTCCCCCAACTGGTGACACTGGCACCGCTTCCTGCCACCAACATGCCCTGTCTGTGGGATCTGTGAGGCCCATGGGGACCCTTGTAGCTCTGTCACCCTCTGAGGATGCTGGGCTGCTCTGAGCCGCAATTTCTTCCTGTATGAAGCTGGGCGACAGGTAGAAGAGACTTGCCCTTCTGCAGAGCTGGTTGGTGAGGGCCTCCATAGTGTATACCTGTTGTGGGTGAAGGTGGGGAAGGCACCCAGTTTTGGGGTGGCTCTTGTCTGAAGAGGGCGGTGGCCACCCGGCCAGACTTCAACGGCAAGCAGTTCTTAAAGGGACAGTAACCCTGCCCCCACTCCTGGCAACTAACTGGCAGGCTTCCTTCCAGATACGGGCAGATGGGAAGCACCTGCTCTGCTGCCCCTTCCAGGGGGAATTCTAGGGGCCTCTGGTGGTGGTGGGGTTGACCCCTTGGTGGCCACACGCAGGACATGGGAGGCTAGTTCTGTGCATCGTGATGCATCTGAGCTGCTGCCCAGCATCCCTCAGTGTCCTGAGTCCCTGGGCTTCATTCTGAGGTTTCCTTTAACTGCTAAGTTGAGGAGTCCTCTTCCCTATGAGAGGGGTGGTCTCTGCAGGAGGGTGGTGGGTGGAATAGTGGGTTTCCTTTATTCTTCTCAGGCTGCACCTTCCTGCCTGTTCCTCTTGGAGGCCAAGCCCAAATTCTGCATGTAGATCTCTCTGTGGGGCAAACCTGGTGTGCAGAGGGGGTGGCTGCCCCTCCGCCCAGTCAGCCAGGGCATGCTGCATGTATTAGGACCCCACTGGCCTGCCCTTGGAAACCCTGAGGGAAGTGTGATTCTCCAACCTGGCAGGAGAAAAACTGAGGCTGAGAGAGGTCAAGTGACTCCACACATTCATTCACCAATGGCCTCTGTTCAGGCCTGGGACTGGCACTGCCTGTAAGGAGATGAACGGAAGATGCTCTTTCCAGGCGAGCTTGCACAGGAAGGCTGCTGGGAAGAGAAGTGTCCGCACCCTTGAATTCCTTTGGACACACTTTAAAACACTGGGAGGTCTCCAGAGAGAGACCCCTGGGGGTGGCTCCCCACCCTCCAGGCCCTTGGGGTCGGGCTGCTCATCCCATGAGGACAGTAACAGTGTGCTTCACAGCAGCCGTGGGCTTCAGGGATTGGTGGACAGGAAGTTGCTAAGAGGAAACATCAGGGATCATGGTGGGATTCTGGCTAAACCAGACCAGCAGGGTGCTTACTGAGGCCAGGGTGATCAGATGTCACTTGTGGGAAGGTGGGGGACAGGGAGCCTGTCAGGGGATCAGATATATGGATGGGGGATGATCGCTAAGATGACTTAGCAGGGTTCTTGCTAAAACTGGATTTTACCAGGAAGGGCACAGATGGGCCTAGAAGTTCTGGGAGCCTAACTATAGTCTGGTTGAGCCAATAATGTTTGTCACCACTCAAAAGAAGCGGGCAGTGAGTCCTGGACAGTTGGCTCTCTCCTGGACTCTGGGTACTTCCCAGGATACTGGCATGTTCCTGCCATCGGGGGAGGCACTGGGCATCAGGGCCTGACAACCCTGTGTGGACTGACAAAACTGTTAGGTAATAAGAGAGAGGGGGCTTGAGCCCATGGCCCCTGTGCCCTCCCCTGTTTTGACCCGGGAGCAGCTGGTCAGTGAGTGTTGGATTCTGCCAGACAGAACTGTCAGCTCACATCCTGGAGGCCAGCAGGCAGGCCAGGTCCTACAGGCGATGGGGGAGGCCCTGCCCAGGTCTCTTCCCAGGAGGGGCCCACAGATAGGATAATCATAGGATTGCCTTTTATAATTATGAATTATTTCAGGCTGTAAACAGGTACAGAGAAAGCAAAACCAACACAGCACTTACTGCAAACCTTTAAAAACAGTCTCTCCCCTTTACGGATTTGTTCACCCTGGTGGCAGGGAGGGGCTGAGGAACGCGGCCCAGGCAGTTGAGTGGGGGCCTAGGCTCCCCAACCAGGGCCTCTTCTTCCCTGTCAGGAGCCATCAGCCCTGTGAGTTCTGCAGTTTGCAGAACTCTGGGTCAGGGAAAACATTTCCCGACCTTTTCTGGGATCCCGAGGTGTGGGGCCACATCCTGCTCAGGCCACACAGGGCATCAGTGGGGACCCAGGCTAGTAGGTGCCAGCGTGGCCTGCATGGTGACTAAAGAGCATTCATGGTGCCGGCTGGCAGCGGAGCGCCATGCTTCACTGGGAAGGCAGATCTGTTGAAGGCCACACTGCAGGCAGCAGAGCTGCAGAGCATCCAGCACTGCCCCGCTGAGCTCAGGGACTATGGTTTGGGGGTGCTGCAGTGGGAGGGGGGTGCTTTGAGTCGGCCAGGAGTGAGACGCTAAGGGTCTCAGAGGACAGTGACCAGGGGGCTGGACTAGGGCTGCTTGAGGCACCTGATGCTCAGGACCAAGTGCTGGGAGGCAGAGGCATAGGTTCCAGACTGTCTGGCTGGGCGCCCTCGGGCATGTCCAGGCCCTCTCCCACCCCTCTTGTCCCATCTACATGGTGGGAGTGGCTTGGATGGCATTGCTGTTGCTGAGGGGCACATTGCTATTACACCTCTAGTGTGGGCCTGGGTGTGGGGCTGAGCTGGTTTGGGGAGGGCTGTGCACGGGATGACTCCACGTGACCCTTCCCCACCCACTGGGCAGTGCAGGAGGACAGGCACCTGCTCTGAAACCCAGGGCCTTAGAAAGGGACCAGAAAGCAGCAAGGCCAGGGGCTGGGTGCTCAATGGCCTGCCTCACAGGTGGGCTGCCATGGAGGATGGTGAGAAGCTGGCCCGGTTCCGGCAGGCGCACCTCAACCCCTTCAACAAGCAGCTTGGCCTGAGGCAGCATGAGCAGGGGCCCGGTGACGAGGCCCCAGACGTCGCTTCTGAAGGTGGGTGCTGGAGGCAGACCTGGGTGTCTGCCCTGAGCCCTCATGCAGGCCCTCCCTTCCTGCTTCCTCCCGTGGAGGGTGCTGGCTGCTTCCATGTCCTCTGGAGCACAAGTCGCTCCCCATCTGCTCAGGCTCCTTTCGCTGTTCCCCACTAGCAGGAACTCTCTTGAGCACAGGGATTTCTGGCCAGCTCATCACTGCTGTGCCCCAGGGCCCAGCACACAGTGGGTGCCCACCCAGAGAACCCTCAGGGGGTGATCCCAGAGCTTAGATCTCACGTGTGAGCAGTGGGGGTGCCCTGTACAAGGGCCAGGGGTGATGTGAGCTCCAGGAACTGCATATAGAGCCGGTGGGGCGCTCGGGCCGGGACCCACACAAGAGCAGCGGGTCAACAGCCGCTCTCCAATGGCCTTTCTTGAGTCCACAGCACATTCAAAGGTGTGAGCCTTAGGAGTGGACATGCCCCTCTGATACTGTTTGGCACTGGGGCGTCTTTCTGCCTCATCATTGGGAATGGCTCTCTCCTGTCTGCACAAAGATGTGGCCTCCTGTGGGCTTGCCCATCCATGAGGGCCCTTCCCGCCCTGGCCACCCCAGCCTCCTGGGGGAAAGGCGGGCTGATTTTTCTCTCTGCTGCCACCCACACCTGCACCCCACTCCAGAGGCCCAGTTTGAGATGCTGTCCGAGGAGCCAGAGTTCCACTGCTCTGAACGTGTGATGGATCTTGGCCTGTCTGAGGACCACTTCTCCCGCCCCGTGGTAAGGTTTGGGGTCTGTGGTGGGGACAGAGACTGGGGGAGCCCCATGGTGTGAGGAGCCAGCCATTTCCTCCTCGTCCCAGCCTCAGAAGTGGGGCCATGTCCGCTTCAACTGGGGCTCCTGGGCCTTGAGCCTGACTTCCATGGCCACGGCCTGTTTGAGGGCCTGGGGTTGGGGCCCTGTGGCTGCTCTTCCCATGTAGGGTCTCTCCTCCCCCACACTCCAGGTTTCTGTGAAGCTAATATGAGGGTTGATCCAATGTGGGGTCTCAGGGATCTTGTAAACATACCACAGAGTGAGGGTGGGGGTGGCAGGGAGAGAAGCCCCCTGCCTTCCTTCCACTGCCCACTCTGCTCGGCAGGGTCACTCTTGTTGCTCCTATAATTTGTTCCGTGGAATCCTTGTTTGTTTTTGTTTTGAATGAGGGGCTCTAATGATAAAAAAACAAAGTATGAAAATCTTTTAGTTTTATGCTGTCCCCAACTTTTGAGGGAAACATTATAGTAATACTCAAATGTAACTTAAATTAAAAAAAACCCACCCAGAAGCTCCCAGTTCCAATCTAATATTCATTTTGTATGTGGCCTTTAAGCTTTGCCGGTACAGATATGAGTTTAATTCATGTGTTTTGTGTCTTTATTGTAACATTTTTGAGCCTCTCCTACAGGCCGCACTGAGCTCCAGTTGGAGGGGTGTCAGGTGGAGGCAGAGGATGGCTCTGAGGGCAGCTGTACCCCTTTCCTGGGGCAAGCCCGGCCCCTTGCTGAGACCTGAGCCGTCTTCTTTCCCCCGTGGCAGCGGTGTTCTGAGTCAGCTGGGCCCTGGGTTGCTCTGAGGTGCTGGCGCTTCTCTGGGCTCTGCTGTTAACCGGAGGCCACTTCCGCCCTTTCATGACAGAGGCTCATTGCCTCAGCCTTCATCTAAGGGGAAGCTCTGTAAGAATAGGCAGAATCGCATAGCCAGAAAAGCAGTTGTATTTCTAAAAGAAGGAAGCGGTGTTTTGAAAAAGATCCTGAATCAGGTCTTCAAAGGCCTGTGGGTGGACAGGCCCAGCTGGGGGAAAGGGGCCGTGGGGTGGTGTCCGTGTGCGCCACACCTCTTCCAGCCTTGGCGAGTCCTCTGCCCCCTCTGGGCTTGTTTCCTCATCTGGGCAAGCGAGGAGGGGAGGGGTCTGCTCCAGGCCTGACTGGCACAGGGACTGCGTGTGGTGGCATCAGACTGTCCTCATGTCCCCCGCACCCGGGCAGGGTCTGTTCCTGGCCTCGGACATCCAGCAGCTGCGGCAGGCGATCGAGGAGTGCCGGCAGGTGATCCTGGAGCTGCCCGAGCACTCAGAGACGCAGAAGGACGCTGTGGCCAGGCTCATCCACCTCCGGCTGAAGCTCCAGGAGCTGAAGGTGGGTGTTGGCCCCCGACCACACAGGCAGCCAGAGCTGAGCTGGAACGTGGAGGTCGGGGGGTCCTCTCCCAGGGGCTGGGTCTCCTCCCAGGGCTGAGGGCTGAGGCGGAAGGCTGCCCAGAAAGGCAGAAGCAGAGGTGGGCCCATCCCACGAGCAGGCTAGTTCTCCGCTAGTCTGGTCGTGATTGGGCAGTCCTGGGTCACGTGTTCACCACTGGGGTGAACAGGTGAGGTAAGTGCCACCTTGAACCACATCATGTTGAAGGTGTCAACAGAAGGGGGGATGGATCTTGGAGCCCAAAATCCAGGTGGCCAACACGTGGGCGCTGAGTGTGTGTATTCATCTGCCACTGTGTCCCCACGCTGGTTCATGAGTCCTGGGAATTCAGAAAGTGGAATCTTCATTGGGGTAGTGGTAGCAAAGGCAGCTTGAATACAGCGACTTGAAGGAGTTAATGCTCAGCATGTAGAAATCTGGGCGGTTCAGGGCCCACATGGCAGGCATGGTGAGAGACCCCAGGCGCTCCTGTTTTGTTGCCCTGGCAGTCCCTGGGGGAGTCCCAGATGGCCCCACACCCACTCAGACTCTGCATGCAGCCAGCAGAAAGCAGGCGGGAGAAGCAGAGACGGACAAGTCACTGCACTCATGTGCTCCTGGCCCCAACATAGTCCCAGGGAAGCACCTGCGGCAAGGAGCGTGGGAGAGGCATCTGTGATCCGGGTGGTCTAGGCCTGACCGATCCGTGCGGCGCTCTGTTGCTGGAGGGGAGAGGGCATGGCATGGGGGAAGCTCACTCTCCTGCAAGGAGGGCCTGGAAGAGAGAAGCTGGGGAACCAATATGACAGGAAGCAGTTTGCCCAGCACAGCTGTGGCGGCCCCCACCCACCTCTCTCCAGGACCCCAGTGAGGATGAGCCCGACCTCCGCGTCCTCCTGGAGCACCGCTTCTACAAGGAAAAGAGCAAGAGTGTGAAGCGAACCTGTGACAGGTGTAACGCCATCATCTGGGGGCTCATTCAGACCTGGTACACCTGCACAGGTGGGCCAAGACCCAGACATGCTCCTTCTGGGTGGGCAGTCCGACACCCTGCGGCTCTGCTCCGTACCTGGGTTGTTCTCAGGCTCTGTAGTGTGCTCCATGTTTGCTGGGCCCTGCGGCACGCTGGGGCACAGCAGGGATGCAAGACCCTGACTCCTGTTCTCACAGGCTCACACCCATATTTGGCTTTGCAGTGTGATGGCCATTAGCCTCACCTGGGTATCCAAATTCAGGGTTAAGTTAATTAAATCAATAACCGCTTGGTTCCTCATTTGTCCTGTCCCCATTCCAAACACTCAGTAGCTCTGTGAGGTCTGTGGCATCCTGGCAGCGCAGAGAACATTTCCCCCACTGCAGGGAGTCCCACCAGATGGCGCTGTTCTGGACGAGCAGTCAGATAAAATGATGGGGTGCATTAGTAGGGACAGTGAAGAAGAGTAAGTGGGGTGCAAGAAGGGTGTGACTCTAGGGTGAAATAGAAAGACATCATATGACATTCAAGCAAAAACTTGAATGTCAGGAAGAAATCCAGGAGTCTGTCTGGGAGGGACATTCCCACGGGGCTCTGTGCAAAGGCCTGTGGTTGGTTTGTGTCCGAAGTCTTCAGTAAGGAGAAGAGAGCAGCATGGCTGGGGCACTGTGCCCGCGAGGAGTGGTGGCAGTCAGGCTCAGAGGTGGCTGGGGCCTTTCCTGTAAGTGTGCTGTGGGCCCAGGTGGGTCGGGACATACTTAGGTTTTAACAGGAGCCCTCTGGCTGCGGAGCTGCGCATGGGCCGAAGGCGGAGGATGGCGGCACTGTGACCAGGTGGGGTGGTTGAAGGTGAGATGAGGGTGGTCGCGATGTTGTCTGAGCAGGTAGGAAGATGGGGCCCTGAAATCTGAGGGGGTGGCTTGGTGAGGCAGAGCCTGAGCTCCATCAGCCAGTGTGGGTTTGATGCGCATCAGGCATCTAGTGGGAATGGCAGGTGGGCCTCTGGACAGGTGCATCTGGAGTGGCTTGGTCCTTTGCCACATGTCTTCAGGGACCTTTGAAGTTCCGGGACCTGCGGTGGTGCCAGCAGAAGCTCTTGGATAGATCCAGGAGCCAGAATAGAGCCCTGCTGTGAGTCCCAGAGCTGAAGGTCAGCCTAAGCGGCCTCCTAAGAGGCAGCTATTGCTTTGCCCACCCAGGGTGCTATTACCGCTGTCACAGCAAGTGCTTGAACCTCATCTCCAAGCCCTGTGTGCGTTCCAAAGTCAGCCACCAAGCCGAGTACGAGCTGAACATCTGCCCTGAGACAGGACTGGACAGCCAGGACTACCGCTGCGCAGAGTGCCGGGTGCCCATCTCCCTGCGTGAGTGCCCTTGGGAGAACGAGGGTAGCCGGCCAGCAGCTGTGTGAGAAATGGGATAAATCAGGGAGCTGGGACAGCACGGTTCCATGGATGGGGCCCTGCTCTTCCCTTGGAAGGACCAGGGGCTGCTTCTGGTACTTTCTTAGCCCCAACTCAAGAAGCTGAGGTTCCAGCCTGCAGGGCTGGGCCAGCACATGCCCTGGGTGGGGCCCTGTGGTCACAGAAGCCCACCTTGACAGGAGAGTCCCACAGTGTGTCCTAGAAATGTACTGATGTTACTCCATGGGTCCCCTCGGCAGTCCCTTGGTGGGCCCTGTTGTCCTATTGGTGAGAAAATGGAGGGCTGCAAGGCGCCTTGACGCAGCTGAGGTCTCCTGGCTGAGAAGTGGATGGTCAGGTCTGGAGGGTGGAACACCCGGGCCCAGCGGGCTCAGGGCACAGCAGCAGCAGGGCATGTGGGAGGTGAGCTGTGGTGGGTGGTCTGGACCCCGAAGGCGGCCCCGTCTTTGTCAGGACCCACTCTCCACAGGGGGTGTGCCCAGCGAGGCCCGGCAGTGCGACTACACTGGCCAGTATTACTGCAGCCTCTGCCACTGGAATGACCTGGCAGTCATCCCTGCCCGCGTGGTGCACAACTGGGACTTTGAGCCTCGCAAGGTGAGGGAGGGCAGGCAGGGGGCCTGGTCCCCTGGGTGGAGGGTGGCAGCATGGTGGGCGTTGGATGTGGGGAGTGGAAGCCCGTGTGCAGGCCTTGTGGGGGCTTGACTCCTGGGGAGTAAATCTGGAGACATGGCCCCCTCGCGTCCCCAGGTGTCCCGCTGCAGCATGCGCTACCTGGCGCTGATGGTGTCCCGGCCGGTGCTCAGGCTCCGGGAGATCAATCCCCTGCTGTTTAACTACGTGGAGGAGCTGGTGGAGATCCGGGTGAGGCTGGGGTGGGTCAGGGCAGATCCTGCTCTTCCCCGGGTCCTGGGGGAGAGACGGCACATCCTTAGGGCGGGTGTCCTTCTGCTGTCCTTTGGATTTAAGATTCTGGAGCAGCTGCTTCAAGTTACAATATGATGATGGGCCTGGAGACAGCTTGAAATTTTCTAGTAAACACATTAAAAAGGTAAAAAGACATAGGTGAACTTAATTTTAATAAAGTATTTTATTTAACCCAATATATCCAAAAGATTATTCCAACATAATCAATGTACTTTATTAAGATACATTACATCCTTTCTCCTTTCTGCACTGTGCCTCTGAAATCTGGTGTGCTCTTCATTTCCAGCATCTCAGTGCGGCCTAGCCACATGTGCTAAGTAGCTACACGTGGCTGGTGGCCGCTCTGCAAGGTCAGCAGGAGGGTGGGGCAGGTGAGAAGGTGAGGTGATGAGGAGGGACTGGGCTCCATTTGAAGGGAGCCTGAAGCTTGTTGAGTTGAGGGGAGCTGGAGTTTGGCTGGAAGTAAGGATGTGTGTTCACACGGCTCCATGCTGGCCCTGTGGCTGCTGTTTTGTGCATATGGGGCCAGGGCAGAGCCACGGGGGGTGAATGGACCTTGGAGTCCTGCTTGGCCTGGAAGCTGTGGTTTGAACTTGACCTTGGCTACAGCACTCAAATCTGGGACTATCTGGGGGATGTGAAGGCGCCTCTTGCCCTGCTGACCCAGAGCTCAAGGTGAGGTGACTCCTACAAAGCCAGTGCAGGGCCAGCCCCCTCAGCCATGCGGACATGCCACAGCATAGCCCTGGCTGAGAATGCCCACCTGTCACTCTTGCCCACAGAAGCTGCGCCAGGACATCCTGCTCATGAAGCCATACTTCATCACTTGCAAGGAGGCCATGGAAGCCCGTCTGCTCCTGCAGGTCAGACCGCTGGTCCAGGGTGGGGGCGGGAGTCTGGGGGTGGGTGCATGGGAAACAGAGTCAGGGCATGCGGGCATGTCATGCTCAGGTCTGCAGATGATTTAATAGCTTGTGTGTGGTCCCCATAGCGGCAGTCTCACACTCGGCTCCAGAGAACACTACATCTATGATAAGCAAATGCATCCTGCCCACAAAAGTGCTCCCTGGTGACATCAGTGAGAGAAACACAGAGAAGCAGGCATCACCCCTCAGCCTTTCCATGAATCACCATGCAGGGGTCCAGGCACAGGCCTGCCTAGGCACGGTTGGCCACAGAACACACCTGCCATGGACAGACATGTGCTATACCCTGGAGAGCACGAGGCAAGACGGGCAGCAATCCTTGCCCTCACTCTAGAGAGCCCTTCCGGTGGGGAGACGGGAATGATCAGAAGCAGGGTGTTGGCAGAAAGGTCAGGCTGGAGAGGGGCCCTACTGGTGCCTGGGGTCACAGCTGCTGGCACCTGCAGCTCCAGGACCGGCAGCACTTTGTGGAGAACGATGAGATGTACTCCATCCAGGACCTGTTGGATGCACACACGGGCCGGCTCGGCTGCTCCCTAGCAGACACGCACACGCTCTTCGCCAAGCACATCAAGCTGGACTGCGAGGTAGGTCCCCGCTATAGACCAGGGGGCATCTCTCTCTGCTCCTAGTCCCGAGGGCAGAAGGAGGTGGTGAGTAGCTTGGCCAATGTGTCCCTGGCCTCAGGTGCCCTCGGGATCAGGTGCTTACCTGTCCCTACCCCATGGTTACCCCCAGCGGTGCCAGGCTAAGGGCTTCGTGTGTGAGCTCTGCAGAGAGGGCGACGTGCTGTTCCCTTTTGACAGCCACACTTCCGTGTGCTCTGACTGCTCTGCCGTTTTCCACAGGTGAGTGGCCACCGCCCTGCCCCCAGGCCATTGGAGAGGGAGAGAGGGGGATGTCTGGGGCTTGGTCTCTGCTGCCTGTCCACCAAAGCCCTTTGCTCTGACTCTGGGATATGTGGCCACACCCTGACGTGGGGTGGCCCCCAGGTTGGTGTACGGAGGTTCCCAAATTCTCGGCTTCCTGGCACTGTCAGGGTCTCAGGGATTTTTTCAAACATCCCTACGTACCAAAAGAAATACCTAACATTTTTGTTCATTAAGTGTTTAGGTACAAACAGCTTCAGCATTTATGACCTAGAGACCTAGCGGATGTTTGGAAAAGTGATACACATACATTGAAAGAAAAGTAATGTGATTCTTTGATAAGCACGGTTACTAATGATGTGTGTGCCTGCTGGACCTGCCCAACTTCTCTCCCCCTGGACTCAAGGGGACATCCCCATTTCCGTCCACACTGATTTTTGCCTGGCACTTAGTGCCTGTCACAGCGGCTGCTGATGTCACAGCTTTGCGGGGCTGGTATCACTGTCCCAGAAAGGACTGTAGCAAAAAGTGACATTGAAAGTGTAAGCTCCCTTGAGCCGGCAGTTATCCTGATGTCCGACAGGTGTCGACTATTGCTGTGTTTCCTTCAAAAGTTTAAACTGGCTCACGGGACCCTGTACACCTCCAGTGCTCCAGGTGGAGGCTCTGCAAGTGGTGACAGGAGGAGGTGGGGAAGTGGAGTCACCAAGGCCTCCAAGCAGAATTGTCCCTGTCAGACGGTGATGAGGTGACAGGTGTAGACCCTTAGGAGGGTCCCACACAGAGGCACTGGATCACAGGCCCGATACATAAGTATAGACCCTGCTTCTGCTCTTTGGGAGAGACTATGCCTCGGTTTCCCTATTTGTAAGGGGGTCAACTGGGGTCTGGTAGGATCACATGCAGAGAGCCCTGTCCAGTCCCGGGGCTGACCCCTTACCCCATTCCCAGGGACTGCTATTATGACAACTCCACCACGTGCCCCAGGTGTGCCCGGCTCACCTTACGGAAGCAGTCACTCTTCCAGGAACCCAGTCCAGACATGGATGCCTAGAGCAACAGATGCCTTCCTGGGCCTGTCTGGCGCCCATTCTGCTGGTCATCACCAAAGCCAAGGTGTCTGGTGTTCTGGAGACCCCTAGGCTGCAGTCCCTAGATCTCTCCCACTGCTGGGCCTCAGTGGCAGAAGCACCTTGCGGACCCTCATCCCCCGGGCATTTCCTGGGATTCGGGCAGCCTGGCCTGGCAGTGAAGTCTGGGATGTGCCCCCCACCACACACTGCAGGGCTTCATGGGCAGGGGAGTGGGGAAGGGCTTTTTGCATCCCTTGTGGGAGAGCCCCCATGTCCTTGGGGCCAAGGCTGCTAGACCTTGGCCACCCCTGAAACCCTGGATCGCTTGGGGGAGTGGCAACAAGCCAGCTGCACGCACCCGGCCTCAGCCTGAGTTTTATCTGCAGCGGATGGTTTGGGTTCTTTCTGGAGGCTCCCATCCCCTCATCCCCTTGTCTCATTGGGGACCCCTGATTGTCCCTGGCTGGGGTTATTCAGGATTGTCTCCTGAGAGCCCTGCCCCTGCCCCCCGAGGTTCCTTCTCTCAGGGTCCTCCTCCAGCAGGGCCAGTCCAGAGGTTATTTGATCTTTCTATACAACGTGGAAGGAAGGGGGCCGTGGAGCTTTCTCCAGGTTGGAAATGCTACTGCCTCTGCCTTGGCCCAGCCCAACTTACCCTGGTGCTCTGGTGTTTTTAGCCTGCCATCAAGGGTAGGCTGTGGGAAGAGGACATTTCAGGGCCCGCCCTGGGCAGTGCGTGACTGTTGCTGTCGACGCAATGTGGTTGACACACACAGGTGGTGGGCGAGGTGCAGGGAATCGCCGCGTGGATGCTTGTCACCTCAGACTAGGAGGCCCAAGGAGACGTGTCAGGAGGAGAAAGGTCAGCTTAGCTTGCAGGCTGATGTGAGGGGTGGCCTCACACAGCATCACTTCCCCCTTGCCCCTCTGCCTCTTTAGGAAAGCCCCACACATCACGTTAGGAACCCCTCCTGCTGTTCTGACCTGCCTTGGGGCGTGATGTGGGAGAAGTGAGCACTGGTGAGGTCGGCACAGCAACAGTCCCCACCCTGCTTCCCCTTCTCTAGGAATTGGAGTTGGGGTTAAAGGCCAAATGCCCTTCTCCTACTCCCCCACGTTTCTCACTACTTCATCACAATTCTATATAGGGATATTGGCCTTTCCTGAATTTACCACGTAATCGACATCAGTGTCCAGCTGCAATCACTGTGTCCATAGATGATGTCAGTATGCTGGCATTTGTTGGACAAAGAGTTGGCTTCCTTTTAAAAAAGTTCTCCCCATTATCTCCTTTCCCAACACCTCCCACCACTTACCACTTCTGAATGACAAAATCTTTCAGCAGAAGCATGTTTGGGTCTTTCTGAGTCTACAACATGGTATTAATAACCAAAGAACCAGTTTACAAGACTAACACCTCACAGAAGAGCAGGGAAGGACACCCAGCTGTGCAGCCACTGTCCCATTAAGTGTGTTCCTGACTCTGGTGTGTGTGTGAATTGGGGACAGGGCAGGTTTGCTGACACGCAAGCCACCTGCAGACCAAGGGGAAGCTCACACCCTTCCCCATTCTATGGGGTCAAATGTAGCTTGGTTTGCAGAGAAGAGTTCTTGATGGGTGAGAAGCACTCCATTGGGTGTCAGACCTAGGTCTGAGTGGGCTGATCCTCCTGGCCACCATTTCTATAAGGCGACTGAGGGCAGTCTGTGGGCCCAGTGCTAGGCATGTTTGAACACAGGCTCCATTGCAAATAAATGAGGCTACTCTGGATATTAGGTGGAAGATACAGTCCATTTTTCCCCCTTTCCTGTTATGAACTAGTGGTTTAATGTTTTTATTTTGATAAATTTAGATTTACAGAAATGTTGTAAACATTCTCATTCACCCATCTGGAGTCCATAAATGTTAATATCTTGCCCCATTTGCTGTATTCTTTCCCCATACACATTTTATTTTCCTGGATCATTTGACAGTAAGGTGCAGAGATAATGTCCCTTTGGTCCTACGCATGTTTATTTCTTCCAGAGAAGGACAGTACCGTATATGGCCACAGTACAGTTATCAACATCAGGAAATAATTGACATGATACCATAAAACCTGCAACAAACCTTAATCTGATTTTGCCATCGAGTTGCCACATCTTTTTTTATATATATGTTTTTAAAATTAATGGATCATTGAATATACACTCTTATGAAGGTTTTACAAGAAAAACAAGTGTTTACTACATTTACCCATATTATCGAGTCCCCCCCACGCCCCATTGCAGTCACTGTCCATCAGTGTAGTAAGATGCCACAGAGTCATTACTTGTCTTCTCTGTGCTACACTGTCTTGTTACCACGTCTTTTTAGCCTTTTTTATTTTTGAAGGGTGCATGACATCTACATTTTTGAAAAACACAGGCTATGTATTTTTAAGGATGTCCTTCGACGTGGGTTGTTCTGATTGAATTCAGGCTTTGTACTTCTGGTGGAAATTCCACAGAAGTGATGCTGTGTCCTGCGCATGACATGTCCTGTTTCTGGAGATATTGCCATGACCCATCTGTCCCGTGTTCTTTCGTCACTTGTTTACTTTCCAGCATAGCAATATGTTCCAGGTTTGTCTTGCACCTTCCATGTCCCAGCCCTGAAACCTGCCATTTCTCCAAGGAGCCCTAGTACCTTCCAGTGGGGAATGGTATTTAGTAAAAAAGATATGGTTGTTGGACACGCTCATTGCTACTGGGCTGTCACTACTTTTTGGTCCTTTAAACAGAGTTGGAAATAGCACCACCTACATCTGTATTTCACTATCATAAACATTAAAAACTGAGTTCACAGTCATACTTCCAATTTCAAAACACTAAATGATTTCTTTCTTTCCCCTTTTTATATTTGTAATTCCCTTCCTTGACAGGGATAAACCTGACTCCATTATCCGTAATATATATTTGCTCAATCCTAGAATACACAGAAAGTACTTTTGGCATAGCTAACCTACACGTCTGTAAAAAAGAAGCCTACTAACTAGAGTTTAATTTTTGCTTAAGAGTCCTTTTTTGTTGAGGGCATATAGTCAAAATGTGGTATTCAAAATTTACTTTGGGCGTTTCTCCTATTCATTGTATGTAAATCTTGTGAAATATGGTTCCAGGCATATATTCCATTTTGTTTTAATTTTTAGTCCTTGTTTATTTTTAAATAATATATTAACATGGTTCTCAAAGTCAGAACTTTACAAAACGTATATTTAGTTGAGTGTCCTCTTCCTCCACTCCCGCCCCCGATGGTAACTAGTCTCTTTAGGCTCTGGTTTCTCCTTCTTGTGTCTCTTTTTGCACAAATGAGTAAGATATGTGTACATTTTCTCTCTCCTTTCTTTTACAAAATGTATCACACTGTAGTTTTGCATATTGTTTTTTTCCAATTGACAGCATACCTGGAAACCACTCCACATCAGTTCTTCCTCACTCTTTTATCATTATCATTTATATCTGTATTATATTTCACTGTGCGGAATTGTCATTTCATGTTTGACCACTCTTCTACATGTAAATATTTAGGCTGTCTCTTAGCTTTTGCAGTTACAAACAAGGAGGCAATGAATAATCTGTGCACACATATCTTCTTTAGTTAGAGGTATATCTTCAGGGTACAACCCTAAAAGTGGGATCACGAAATCAATTAGGAGTTAGTGTAATGCTCCTCCATAACTGCTGTACCGATTTGCTTTCCCACCAGCAGTGTATGAGGAGCCTGTTAACCATAGTCTCACCAACAGAATGTGTGGTCATACTTACTTTTGCCAATCTGATTAGTGAGAAATGGTATTTGCAATGATGTGCTTAACTCCTTTTCAGCTCCTAGACCTGATTCCAATGTGTGTGTGTGGTGGGTGTGGGGGCCTTTCCCCCTACACCCACCATACACAACACTAAGCAATTCTTGAACACCAGCAGGGTGTCCGAGAATGCAACTCAATTCTGATGCTATCTGCCTGGAGACAGTACCAGATTCCCCAGGTTAAGAGTTCCGTCCTACAAGACTGCCCTTCACCCTTACCTCGAGACACTGGTTGCAAGCCTCAGGCAGTTACCTGTGTTTCTGACCTACTGGCTACAGATTGGGGGCTCCAATGACCTCCCTCTTAGTTTCAATTAATTTTCTAGAGTGGCTCACAGAACTCAGAACACTTACGTTTACCAGTTTAATAAAGGATACTGAAAAGGATACAACTTAACAGTCAGATGAAGAGATGCAAAGGCAAGGTCCCAAATAAAGGAGCTTCTATCTTCGTGGGACTTGGATCCTGGCTCCATGGCATGTGGAGGCATTCTGGTTCCCAAGCATGGAAGCTCTTTCCTACAGAGAAGCAGGATCTCAGAGGGCGAGAAGCTCTTCTGGGGGGTTTTTGTGAGGGCTTTGCTGCATAGTCATGATTGACTATATTGGCCATTGCTTGATTCAACCTCCAGCCCTCACCCTTGGGTGGGGAGTGGGGTGGTGGTGTCCAAAAGTGTCCATTAATATGACAAGACACCCATTTCACCTTTAAGACTGTAGTGTTTTCAGGAGCTGCGGATGAAGACCAAAAATACCTGGGAAATATATATTTGGTCATATGAATGACCAAATATGTATGTATGACTCATTAGATCACAGTATCTGTGCTTTAATGTGCATTTCTTTAGAGTGAGGTTGAACTTATCCTGGGTTCCAAAATCTAATTTATGAATCAAATCTTTTGTCCATTTTTCTATTGGATTTCATATATTTTTCTGTGGAATCTGTAATAAGAGTTCTTCACATCAGGAATACTAGCCCATTATCTGTAAGATATGTTGCAAATATTTTTTCTAGTCTGTCAATTGCCTTTGACCTTGTGGGCAGTTTTTTACCCATGGAAAGTTTTGTTTTGTTTACATTTTTATATGATCAAGTTGATTTTTTTTACTTCACCTAGACTTTACATTATAAAGAATCTTTCCCTACAACCAGGTCATAGAGGCAGTCACCTATGTGTTTTCATAGTATTTGAATGTTTTTAATTTTCACGTTTAGATCTCTGATCAGTTTATTCTTGTGTATGCTGTGAGGTATGGATCTAATTTTCTCTCCAAATAGTTAACTAGTTGTCCTGCACCAACATTTTTTTCTGTACTATTATTACACAGGTCTGACTACTACACTGCTAAGTACTAAGCTTTATAGTGTTTTAATGTCTAGAAGGGCTAGACATTTTAAGAAATGTTTCCCTGTGTATTCTTGCATGCAGTCTTTTAAAAGCACATGTATTTAAATAAAACTTGAATGAAAAAATTTTATACTCTTAAATGTCAAAATGAAAATACCAGAAAAAGGGCTCCCAGGGACTTTAAACATCCAGGGACTTTAAACATCCGGCAGTGGGGAGCCTTGGTGGGGCTTCATCTGTTGAGGCCATCTTGTTGCCTCTCACTTTTCTTCCACTTTGGATTACACACGTTGAAAAATGACCTACAACAGGTGCTTTGAGCGCCTCTTTTTCTCATTGTACAATTTTTCCTGTAGCAGTTTATAGCACCACTGATTGCTCTTGAAACTTTCAGTTTCCACTCATTGTTACAGATACTACTGGTAAGGACCTGCAAGCCAGCCTCAAAATGTGTGAAGGCTGCTGACAGTTCTCCTGTGGTTAGTTGATGAAGGGCAGCTGGAGCATTTTCACTTTCCTCCTCTGCTGCTGGCTCCTGTTCCAGATGCACCAGCTCCTCATTTGAGAGATCTTCCTCATGAGACCGCAGCAACTGGTCCACATCAGCTTCTACAACCTCTTCCAAAGCCACATTCTTGGCAAGGGTTACAATGTTTTGTTGAAGCTGTAAGATGTTATGTTTGGGAAACACTCTGGAACTAAACACACTCAGGCCAAATCTTCAACGCACTATTCATTGTTGCTGGTGTGAGCTGCTCCCAAGCTACTGCAATGTTATCTACAGCAACCATGATGTAGTTTCTCCAAAACTCCCTAATCATAGCTGTATCCTCTCCATTTGTTGCTTCTAGGATGTGCTCAAAAGTCCTTTACAGGTAAAGGGCTTTGAAGGTAGAGGCTATGCTTTGACCCATGGGCTGGATCAAGTCAGCTGTACGGTCATGAAGATATTCCACTGTTACATTATCAGACAGATCATTCAAATTTATAGGGTGGCATGGTGCACTGTCTAGGATGAGCAATGCTTTGGTGGTGAGATTATTTTGGGCACAGTATTTTTCAATGGAGGGTAAAAAAAATATGTGAACCATTCATGAAAGATGCTTTTGGTTGCCTAGGCCTTTTTGATTGAGCACCAAATCACAGGCAAATTGGGCATGGAGTACTGCTTCAGAGCTTTGATGTTTTCTGAGTGGTACACCAATAAAGGCTTCAACTTAAAGTCCCCAGCTGCATTGCCACCAAGAAGCAGCATCAAGCGATCTTTGGATGATTTAAACCCTGGCTCAGTTTTTTCTTCCACAGAAATAAATGTTCCTTCAGGCATTCTCTTCCAATAAACTCCTGTCTCATCTACGCCAAAAACTTGCTGGGAGCTGTACTCACCTTCTTCGATGATGCTTTTCAGCACTTCAGAATATGTATCCTTGTTGCCAGGAGCACTGCTGTTCATCTTGATGTGGGGCAAACAATGGCACTCCTTGAAAATCACAAACCACTCTTTACTTGCCCTGAATTTTTCTGTTTGAGAGCTTTCACCTTGTTCACGCTGTAAGGCATCAAACAGACTCTTAGCCTTCTCCTGAATAATGGTGACACTCGGGGGCACGATTCGCTGGCTCTGATCTTCAAGCCACACACGCAACAATCGTTCTGTGGTCTCCATGACTGCACTCCGATGGCGAGTCAACCGAGGGGCTCTCAAAGGAGTAGCTTTTTGTGAACTCGTTTTTATTTTTTATTATCTCGTATCGTGGCCACTGTAGAGACAGTGAGGCCTAAAGCTTTCGTGATGTGGCCGAGCTTTTCCCCCACTTCAAATCGTCTTAATACTCCCAATTTTATGTCGGGGGTAATTATTTTCCGTTCCATTTTGGCACTCGAGGGCCTTTTCCCAGGCATCTTTGCCGCCAGAACGTAATAAAATCAGATGCAAGAAAGCCTGTGGCTACTCTATGCTCCCTCGCAGAACTTGGGAAAGGAACACCGGTGCTGCGAGGCACGCAGCGGACATCCCCGAAACGAGAGGAGTCACCGCAGGGCTGCCCAGCCACACTGCCTGGAACCAGACTGGCGCCTTCACGACTACAGGGAGGGCAGCGTTCAAATTCCCGGACCGCACATCCGCAGGAACATCCTCAGGACTGGCATGTGTTTCTGCGACCCAGAGAACAAACAAGCATCCGTGTAGGGAAGAAACGGGTTGAACACACACCGAGCCAGGTTTGCAAGGGCCGGATGGCTGAGACAGTTCAGGCCCGGATTCCGAAAAAAAGAGCTGGCGGGGCAGAGCTGCCTCGCTTCCTTGCGCCGCTTCTTTGAAGGACCCCGGAAATGCGTGTCCTTGGAGAGGCCGGACTTAAAATTTAAGTCTAAAGGCGCTGGGTATCCTCTTTGCACCTACACTGAGCCTGTGGCCGGGGTTTCTGCCCTCAGCTGTCAGGGTAAGACAAGGCAGCGCAAGTGTTCAGGTCCCTTGTGAGTCAGGCCATAAGGTAGACACCTAAAGAAAGGTACCCAAGCCGGAACGGGGGTGTGGCGCCACTTTGACGTGTTCGCCGCTGCTGTGGCGCACGGTTGTGGGGGGTGTTCTGCACCGGGTCAGGGGCGGGGAATGTTGTATCACTGGTAGCTGGGGCCGGCAGCTGGGCTGCTCGCCGTGCTGTGGCGATGGGGCGGCAGTCCAGGAGGCGGCAGGACGACCAGAACAGGCGTGACGGTTCTTGGAGCCGCCTGGCAGGTGAGCGGGGAGACGCTGGCTGCCGGTTTCCGGCGGTGCGGGGGGATCTTCGCTCCACGCCGTCGTGACGGCATCCGGGTGCGCCGGCCGGCGCGGGAGGGGAGGCGGAGTAGGTCTGGGCCGGGGAGCGGGGCATGGGGAGCCACGTTCCCGTCTGGGCGGCTGATGAGGCCGCAGCCCCGGGGCGAGCCTGTTGCCTTCTGTTCTCCGAGACCCGGCTGTTCTCCCCGTGGCCCCTGCCACACTTTTCTTCGAAAATTGCCGCCGCCTCGCATTGCCCTGCCCACTGTTTGAGAGCAGGCCTCCACGCCACACCCCACCCCCGTCTCTGTATACACCTCTCCAACGACCCCCACGTTGGGCAATTTGGGTGCAGGCCCCTCTCGACTGCTAGCCCGTTTCCTCCTGGGCTCAGAGGTAATAGCTGTATTCAGTTTACAGAGTTGCTCTGAACCAGGTATGATAATGGACTTTAAAGAGTTTTGTGAACTTTTGTTTTTTTATTGAACAGCACTCACTGAGTCCATCTCTTCCAATCTCGTAATAACTAGCAGTGCTTGAGGGCTTCTATACTAAGAGCTTTACAAGGATTATCTCATTTAAATCCTATGCCCGTCCTGCCCATAGGCGCTGCTACTAGATAAAACTCTTTTTTATGTTAGAGAAAATGTAATACCAAAGCTGCTCAGAGGCTGTTCTCACCTTACAATTTAGGTCCATCTGTTCCAGGGCCTTCATTTTAAAACCTGCTGTGGTGTTCTGTCTTCCTTTGGGTTGGATACTGTGAAATGTTATTCCATGTTATAAGATGGCTTTATTTCTGTATTGATAACATCTCAAGGGGAAGTGATCACATTAACTTTTTTCCCTTAATGCACTAATGTAGAGTTTCTGGATTTCTTTCCAAGAAAGAAGGTAGCTTGGTTTTGAGAGAAAGAAGGATTCCATGGGTTTATTTTTTTGTTCTCTCTTCAGGAATGAAATTTACCTTCTCATCTCCATTCAATTCATGTCAGTTTTTATTTATTTCTAGCAGTATCTGAAATCACAGCCTTTCACCAGTGGTATCAGCATTGCAGAGGGCTGTTCTGGTTGTTAACAGGTGGTGGAAGTCAGTAATTGACCAGTACAGCACAGGTGTTAGGAGCTCTGCACTCTGCACTTCTGGACACGTTGGTTTTAGTTATGAAAGGAGGATGTTGGACCTTTGAGTTCCCTCCCAGATTGAGTCATTCATGTATTGAGAATCTACTGACCAAGGGATAGCATAGTGAACAGGGCAGGCAAGGGCTCTGCCTGTGGGCTGGTCTCCTTTGAAGGCCTGGTGATTTGTAGGCTGAGGTCATGCAAAGGCTGGAGAAGCAGTCACAGTCTGCTTTGTAGTTTAAAGATGTGCCCTAGCAGTCAGCACTTACCTAGGGAAGCTTATGTTCTGGAGGCTGTCATGCATTCATTTTTTTAATTCAGTGAGCTCTCTACCACTGTCTTTGCCACTCGAGAAGAACCAGACGGTGAACAAGTATATGGCATGTTAGGTGTTTATATAAGATCTGAAGGAAGAAGCAGAACAAGGAGAGTAGAAAATGAAGGGAATGGAGGAGGATAAATGCCATGTTATTTTACATGGGCTGGTTGACTTCTGTGGGAAGTGAGGGACTGAGGCGGGAGCATAATAGCAGCTTGAATAGCAAGTGCCTGGTGGGGTTGCACCTTTGTGAATCTGAGGCACAGACCAAGTCACCTGATTTTGTGATCTGACTGGAAAGAAAGGACAGTGGCACTTTGCTTGGTGAAAGGAGGCTCACATCTTGGCTTTGTTTTTACAAACACCCATGTAAAGCTCATCCAAACCAGACGCCAAGAACGGAAGGTGAGCCGTGTCTCCACAAGCGCCATCTGATGTAATGTAGTCCCCTAAACAAATCAGGAAAGGACGAAGTCATGAATTAAAGGAATTGGATGATTTATTAAATTTTGGAGGCCTCAAGTCTTTCTACCTGATACCTCTATTGAGCCACTATCACTGCTCTGTGGAGTAGTGCTGGAGAAATCCTGGGAGGTTTGGGTCCTAGAATATCTCATACACTCCCAGCCCCCGTTGTCTTCAGGCACTCATTCACCTTTATGAACTACTTCTCCACCTCTGCAGGGTGGATGGTGACACTTACTTTCTCGAGATGGGCAGTGGGGATCAGAGAAGGTGGCAAAGAAGCACCCAGGAACAACCATCTTGCCTGGGCCCTCCTTTGGCTCACAGTCTGCTCATGTGCAGGGTTCAGCTCTCCCAATGCTGTGGTGCTGGCTGGGACCAGCTGTCCAGATACCCTGGACTCCGCCCGGGCATGGCCTGGCCCATGGATCCTGCCCAGGTGCAGCCTCGCCGATCTGATCACCAGGTTTCCTGTGGTGAGCCTGCACCTTGAGTGCTCAGGTTTGGGCCTTCCTGCCCTGAGGTTAATAGTTTGGTTAGGTCCTTAGCTCTGTATTTAGAGATTTTGACAGAGATCTTGCAGCAATTAATGTCATGTGTTGGAAAAGTGACACATGAAAACCCATGGTTGCTACCAGTTCCTATCTCCCAGCGACCTTCCTTTGGTGATAACAGACGTGGTGGGGTCTGTGGGGATGTCATTGCAATCCATACAGGTGGGACTGATGTGACAGGTTTATATTCTCCAGCCTTACGTTCTGTGGAGTCTTACAAAAACGTAAAATATAGCGTGACGTATTCAGCGTGCCTTCACTGGGACTTCAGCCTGCACCTCCCCAGCCCTTTCCGATTGTGAGAGGATGTCCGGTGCTGCCCAGCATAGCCCTGGGCCGATCTGACGTTGCTCAGAGGCAGCGCTGGGAAGGCATTTAGTAATTCCAGAGCTGCCTGCACGTTCCAGCATGTTCCTGCCCTGTACTTGTAGGTGACTGGGTGTGAAGCACAGACAGGGCAGGGAGAGCACTTGGAACCCCAGGCTGTCCTTGGGGTTTTCATGGAGCAGCTGCAGGTGACCCACATCCTACCTTCTGTGTCTCTGATGTCGGGCCCGCCATCACCGAGGTCCACCTGCATCCACTGAAGTTGGATGAGAGCCTCAGTCAGGACTGACAGGAAGCTTGCGGAGTTCACCCCAGGCTTCACAGGGGAGGGTGGGGTGGGCCAGCCCATGCTTGTCTGCAAGAGGTGTGTGTGTTTGGGGGGTGGTTTCTAGTTGTGTCGCTTGGTCCTGGAAAGTGCCCACCTATGTTTTCGAAACTGTAGAACACCATCAAGGCCTCAGAAATGGTTAGCTGCAAGGGTCACTTGCAGCCATTTTAGTTGTAATTCTGTTAGACTTGGACAGTTTTTACTGCAGCGACTGAGCTAGCATCTGGGGCAGCCCCCCTGAAGTGGAGACATGCTGCGTTTTATAGTCTAGGGCTGTAGCTCTCAGCCTGGGGCTTCTGCTTGTCTCTCTTCTTTGTAGTTAAACCCCAAGATCCTGTTCTAGGAAACTTTCTTCCCTACAAATCTTGTTTGAACAGGACGGGTTTAGGGCTTTTTCAGGTAGACTTCCACCCAGCTTACCCTCTCAGCAGCCCTTTGCAACCCTCATGGTTACTGTGGCGAGCCATGGGCCGCTTCTGCCACTCTTGGAACATCCTCGCGGAGCCTCATCTCCTCCAGCCTGTGCAGCTGCCATCTCCCTGGTGTCCTGCCCAGGGCTGGACAGGGGCTGGGGTCGGGTCACACAGAAGACCATGTTGTCAGCTGCAGGGCACTGAATGTTCCCACTTGACCTGGCACGGGAAGGACCCACCCTGCCTCCTGCTGTCTGTTCTCTCCCTTGGTGACTTCATGTGTCCATGCACACACTAAAGTTAAGAAATTGGAATAGATCACCTCACTTTGTCTTTCCCTGATCAGCAACAGGAGAGACTGTGCCGCAGCAGGATGGCCCAGAGCTCAGCCCCAAGGGGTCCTAGGAGGCCGCATCATCAAGCTGCCCTCCTCTCTGAGGCTAATCGTGGGTCCTGCAGACAGCCTTTGTGAGTGTCAGGATAGCAAGGCCAGAAAATGGTGCTTCTGTCCTTGCACACAGAAGAGAAATTCCTGGAGTAAAAAAACTAGACACATTTTCAAAAGCCACAAACTTACTCTGCTGACTGTGGAACTTTGGTGGTTCTTTTATGTTGAGCTCATATGCCTCAGGCCTCTGGATGGGGATCCAGGCATTTCCAACCTGGCTTTCCTTAGAAAGAAACCCAACACCTAAAAATCTTTTTCACGTGTTTTGCTTATTATTTCCTCTATGATGTATTAATAAAAATGAAAGGGAAAAAAGAATATTAAACCATGCCTAATGATTCAAAAAAAATTGTAAAGCATGCAAACAAATATGTAAGTACAGGTCATTCACAGGAAAAATAAATTGACAGAAACTGTGTCTCAGCTAGTATAGACATTGGGCTTATTAGACAAAGACTTGCAGTGACCTCTCTTAGCTGTATATGTTCCTCGAGCCTGCGGAAACCAGAGAACTATTTGTCTCAACAGGTAGAGAATATTGGTAAAGAAATGGAAATGATGAGAAGTAACCAAATAAATCCTTCAGTAGAGGAGTTCTATAATTGCAACGAAGAGTTCATTGTACAGGTTCCACAGCAGATTTGAGCGGGAAGAAGGAAAACCAGCAGACTTGGAGAGAGAGGTCATCCAGTCAGAGGAGCATGAAGAAAGAACGACCAAGAAAAATGAACAGAGCCTAGAGACTTGTGGGACACCATCCAGTAGATGCAGTGTGGGAGTCCCAGAGGGAGAGGGGAGAGGAAAATGGAGAAGTAATTGTTTAAAACTTCCCAAATTGGACAAAAGATATGAATCTACACATGCGAGTTCACTGAACTTGAAGTAGGGATAAACTGTTAAGATCCACAGTAAGACATACTATAACCCAACTTTGAAAGCCGAAGACAGAGATTCCTGAAACCAGCAAGGGAGAGGGGTCGCATAGCGTGCAAGGGGGCTTCAGTAAGATTGGCAGCTGGTTGCCCATTAGGAGAGGGTGGTGTATTCAAGGTGCCGAAGGGAAAAACTGTCAGCCAAGAATTCTGTATCTGGCAAGTCTGTCCTTCATTTGAAGAATGAAGGGGAAATTAAGACATCTCCAGATTTTAAGCAAGTTGAGAGAGTTCATTATATTTAGACCTGCCTGACAAGAAATGCTAAAGGGAGCCCTTCAGGCTGAAATGAAGGGACACCAGCCAGTACCCCGAAGCTGCTTGAAAACATACAGGTTATTGGTAAAAGGGGGTGCTTAGGTTAATAAAAAAGGCCAGTATTACTGTATTTTTGGTTTGTAACTCCTCTTTATTACCACGTGATTTAAAAGGCAAGTATGTAATAATGACCAGTCTATATTACTGGGCAAACAATGTGAAAAGGTGTTATCTGTGACAATATAAAGGTGGAAGGAAGAAGGTGTGTAGGAGCAGTGTTTGTATAGTAACTGAAGCCAGAAATGGAAGAGCTGGTCCTAAAATTCACAAGGGACCTCAAGGGGCCTGAATAGCCAGTGTTATAAAAGAGGAATGGAGTTCAGTGTAAGTGTTCAAAACTTACTACAAAGGTCCAGTGAACAAAATAACGCTACTGGCACAAGGTTAGACACAGACACATAGAACAAAATCTAGAGTCCGGATGAAAGGCTGTACATCCCTGGTTACCTCAAGTTTTTTGAGGGTGTGAAGAAAATTCAGTGGGAAAAGTAGAGTCTCTTCAACAAATGGTTTTTGGACAACTGAAGATCGACATGCAGAAGAAGGAAATTGGGTCCTTACACCGTCTATAAAAGTTTAACTCAAAATGGATAAAAGACCTAAAGTTAAGAGCTGAAACTATAAAGCTTTTACAAGAAAATATGGGAGAAAATCTTCATGACCTAGGATTTGGCCGTGGTTCCCTAAATATGAGCAATGAATGAAAAACTGGACTTGCTAAAAAAGGTACTTTGTTGATCAAAGGACATTACTGATAAAGTGAAAAGTCAGTTTGCAGAATGGGAAAAGTATTTGGAAATCATGAGTCTGATAAGGGTCTAGGGTCCAGAATATATAAAGAAACCAGTTTAAAATGGGGAATGGATGAATAGACATTTTTTCCAAGGAAGATGCACAAATGGTCAAGAAGCACGTGAAAATATGCTAAGTAGGAAAATGCAAATCAAAACCACAATGAGATCCCACATCACATACACAGGATAGCCATAGAAGACAGACAGAGTAGTTTGCAAGGATGTAGAGAAATGGGAATCTTTATATGTTCCTGGTGAGACTGTAATGGTGCAGCTGGGAAATCATTTTGGTGGTTTTTCAAAAAGTAAAATACAGCTTATCATATGACCCAACAATTCCACTCTTACATATCTACCCAAGAGAATGGAGAACATGTCACACAGACTTATACATGAATGTTCATAGCAGCATCATTCATAATAAATAGCCAAGGGGATGATGGATCAGCGCATGGATGGATGAATAAAAGGTACATACATACTGAACTGTAGAGAAGTACTGAGACGCTACAATGTGGATGAATCTGTGTGCCAAGTGAAAGAGCCAGGACACAAAAGATCCCATTTTTATGAAATGCCAGAACAGACAGATCCATGGAGGCACAGTGGTTGGCTAGAGGTGGGTATATCAATCAACCATAACAGACATGGCATGTTTATAGGTGATGGAAAACATCTAAAGTGAGATCAGGGCAATACTTGCACAAATTGGTGAATTTAAAAAGTCTTTGAAATGTACACCTAAAATGGATGAATTTTGTGTTAAACAAATGATACCTCAATAAGTAATTTAACAGAAGCATGCCTGAGAACAGTAGCGACTGGCCCAGTGGTTCTATTGCCTGTAGTTGTTCATCCAGGTGTAGCTCTGGTCTCTGCTGGAGGCTTTCCTGTGAAAGACTGGCCCAGGGCATGAATGCCCTCTGTTCTCTTTTCCTGGGTCAGGTGCTGATACGTGTCTTGTTTGCCACGAAGCAGCCCTGATCGCCACCCGCCACCTGTGTCCCTTTGTTGAGGAGAAGCGCTTTGAGCAGGCCATTGAGAGAGTCCTTGGAGGTGAGCAGGCAGCCCTGGGCGGGGGCAAGCTCACACTTCACAGGTGTCCTGTAGTGTACTTTATAGGCCACAGCAACCGTGGACGGTTTTCCAAACCAAAATCTGGGACTTGGGATCTGCTGGCAGTACCTTCTGTGCCTCTTCTGGAGTTACATTTAGAATCTCAGCAGGTATGGGACCTCTGGGGCACTTGATGAGACCCAGGTTTGGATGCTGACTGCAGATGAGGGAGGGCTTCCTGGGAGCTTCCTTGAGAATGCTGCAGGACCACCCCAGGGCCCCTGCTGGGGCAGCACCCTGGATGTTAGTGCGTGTGTGTGTCCTTGTGGGGTCAGCTTCCTGGCCTCCCATCTGCAGCTCAGCTCAGAGAGCTGTAGCCAGCAGCAGGTAAGGGTCACCCAAGTGCCTTCCTGGGGACAGTTCACGGAGGTGTCCTTCATTGCCTGACTGTGTCATGTAGCTTTGCTCAGGGATGGAGTGCACAGAAGGGAAGCCCATGGCCGTCACCACAGCTTGAGGATGTCCTGGCGCCTCTAGTAAGCTGCCCAATGGGAGTGGGGCTCAGCACGAATATGTGCCTTTTGTCTCTCCATGCTTCTGGCCTCACTGGTCAGGCCACAGAAAGTAGCTAAATCCGTGGGCTGAATGTGGGTTTCCTGAAGCAGTCTGCCGCTGAGGGTTGTTATGCCATTGTCAGAGGTGGGCAGCCGGGCAGAGAGTAGCTCAGTGTCTGGCATGGAGGGTCAGGCAATGCATTGGGCCTGAGGAGAGTGTGTGGAGCAGACAAGCCTTCGGTCTGCCCTGAATGAGCAAAATGGAGAGTGGGCGCATGGCACCCACCTTCCAGCTCCCTGTTCCTCCTTAGTCTCTTGCCCTGGAATTTGATTTGTCGGCTGGAGAAGGAAATGCAGGTCCTGCAGCCCAGTGAGACCACCGTGTCTGGACGTGTGGTGGTGGGTCATTCCTGGAGCTCGCGGACCCCTTCTGAAGGTCAGTCTCTTGCCCTCTTGTGTGTTCGTAGTGAGACTTTTGGGGCCACCTCTCATCCCAGCTCATCCTTGGCCTCTTGGGTCTGGGTGCCCACCTCACCCAGGTGGCTGTGTGCAGCCTCATGGTACATACAGGTAGTGGCCCTTTTACTTCTGAAAGAATGTAATGGTCAAAATAATTTGTCGAAAGATTCCTGGGAGGGCAAGGGAGAGTGTAGATTCTGAACGGGGTCTGGATGCCGGCCACCTGACACCTTAGAGGTGTGATGTCAAACCTGCCTCACTCCTAAGCATTGCAGGCTTCCTGTAGGACTTGCCTGGGACAGATGGGGTGGAAGTGGTTTCTGTTAATCTTCAGGGCTACACTCAGGGGATGGGGCCCAGGGGTCCCCTCGTCCTATGCGAGGTTGCTCTGGGATGGCGGTGATGAGGGTGCCTGCCTATGCCTTGCAGGTGTCTGCTGTCCCTCAGGACAGAGGCTGCAGCTTTGCCCTGTGCTTGTCCCCATGCACACGGGAACAGCTCTGGCTGCATGTGTACCATGCTGGGGGACAGGGTGGCCAAGCAGCTGTTCTTTGGGTGGATTACGGTGGCCCAGGATGACTTGAGGAAGGTCACCTAAAGTGCCTATGCCCTGGTGAAGTTCGGTGTCCCCGCTGGGGGACTCTGGCCAAGTCCAGCTAGCCTCACCCTTAGCTCCTTGCTCTCTTCCAGATTGTGCAGTTTGGGGTGAGCGAGAAGCTGGGCCAGGTGTCCTTTGACTTCCCTCCGTACCTCGTCAGCTCCGCCCATGCGCAGACCCTTGCCCTGACAGCGGTGCTGGGAGCAGGTGGACAAGGTGAGTAGGGCAGGGTCCTGGTCGGCACGTGTCAGCCCTCGTGGGGTGCCTTTGGTGGTGCCTGCTGTCTGGGGAGTGGCTGAGAGAAGCTATGATTTCTAGGTGGGCAGACTCCTGCTGGAGAAAGAGGTGCTGAAGAAGGCTGACATAGTGGAGCTGCTAGGCCCACCGCTCTTTGCGGGGAAGTCTGGCTGTGAGGAGTTGATGGAAGGCACCGGCTGCCTGGAGAAGGACATGTCCCTTTCTGAGGGTCCGAGGGCCTGGAACCAGGAGTGGGAGATGGGGCGCACTAGAGTCTGGCACATTGACTATGGCCTTGAAAGCAGCTGCCAGGAGCCTGCAGAAACGAATTAAAGTTCGTGCTGACTGCAAGCGGTTGTTTTACCCTTAAGGGCATCTGTATTCTCCCTGAATGTGCCCCACTATGCAGGAAGCCTGTACGCTGTTCCCAGGGTTGGTGTCGGAGTCAGAGGGGAGGACAGCCACTGGAGCTCAGCCTCTGCCCTAGGAGTCCTGAGTAGGGCCCTTATGGGCCTCCAGTGAGGTGGGTGGTGGGCAGGTCAGGGCAAGGCCTTGTTACCAATGTTTGTGCCAGTCGCCTTGCTGGCCCCGAGCAGAGGTGGTTTTGGCTCAGTTCAGAAAATGGTGGGGTGGCAGATTTAAAAAAAAAGGAAAATAGAAGCCAGTTATCAAGGGAAAGTATTAGGTTTTCAAAAGAGCTATTTGGGTGGTGGAAGGCCTGTCAGTCATTATGGATGAAACTCAAGATTTCTCACAGGTGTGTGGTTCTGGTGGGGGTGGGAGGGGAGCTGAGGGAGTCCCTAATGTGGGCCCCAGGCGAGGAGGAAGCCCAGTTTCCTCAGCAGGACCCAGCCCGTGTCTTGGTCCAGGGGCCTTACCACCAGGGTGTGTCTGGGTCCAATCTGTCAAAACCACAGAGAGGGAGGGTCTGGGTGAGCCGGGAGGCTTGGCCCCCACAACCCAAGGTGGCTCTGGGCCGCATGTGGAGAGGCCTGTGGCTGCCCATTGATTGGCCCCCTTCCTGGTGCTGGGCAGCTGCCACAGGCGGAAGGCCAGCTCTGGGTTGTGCAATCTCAATTTCTGATGCCTTAGAATTGTTTAGTTGGTCCTGGAGCATAACCTAGTGGAGTGCCCCAGCGTGCAGCCTGCCTCTCTGGGTCATCAGAGTCACAGCAGGGATGGGGCGTCTGCCACTGCCTTCAGGTGGTGGGAGAATGTCTGGATTGCCCAGGGCAGCCCGAGACCCCGGGGACACCGCTGTGCTCACCCCAGCTGCTCCTCGGGGGGTCCTCAGGTGCTTGCCCAGGAGCAGGGATGGCCCACTTGCTGCCGCACATGCCCCCTGCTCTGCCTGGCCGAGACCAGACACTGGGATTTGGTCTAAAATTTCCCAAATCCTTTGTTGGCTTCAAAAATACAATTTCCAGCCTGTAGCAAGCACTTTAAACTCACCATTTGTAAAACTTGTATTGTTGAGTTTTAAATCTCCAGGGCTCACTCTGTAATGTAGCCTCTACCAAGCTTAGCCTCCATTAGCTGAGCTGCTTGGGTCCTGCCTCTGATGGAGGTGGGGGTGCTCCCCTTGACCCAGGAAGGCCCCTTGACAGCCAGAGCCTGGGGTCTGTCCCTTTTTGGCTGGTTGCAGTTCCTCCTGGGGTCCAGGGCACATCCCTGGCCCCACCTGAGGATTCCCTGTTCCCACAGGTCTTAGCTCCTTCACCCTTCTCACTCTGGGCCATCGTGTTACCTGGGTGCATGCTTTGTGGGCTTCGAGTTGTTCCTGGGTCGAGAATCTTCCCTCCTGAGAGAGCCCACTGGGAGGAACTGCGTGCCATGGTGCCCAGGGCCTGTCTCTGGGCCCCTGTTAATGGGTGATGAAAATGCCTGGGGTTCTGGCTCTATCCTTGCCCTGCTCACCGACGGGTCCTGCCTCCTTGTGAATAGTCTTGCTGTTGTGGGCCTGGAGCTCCCAGGAGCCTGCTCTGGGTCAGGGCTCCTGGGCGGGCAGATGCTCACCTCCTTAATGCTAGGAATCAGGGCACTCGTCCCTGGAATGTGACCCAGATAAGCAGCCAAGTGCTTCACAGTGGTGTGCCTAGTGGTTTCAGCTGAAGGATGTGCACAGAGCTTGGCTTCCACAGCTGCCAGCTCCCCATCCTCGGCACTCACTCTGGGTCCTGATGCCAGCTCAAAGAAGAGACAAGGGGGCCTTCAGATGGGGTGACACTTTAATCTCACTTTCTGAAAATGGGCTCTGCAGAAGCTGCAGCAGGAAGGATGGAAATTGGGCAGGGAAGACCCCCCCCACACACACCGCGGTGAGGTCAGGGCAAGCAGCTGCCCATATGGTTACGGGCCTGGTTTAAGGAGATTCTTGACTGCTTTGCTCATCCCGTGTGGAGGGAGTAGGCAGTGTCCCCCAGGCCCTGTTGTGGGAGGCAGACTCCTACATTTCTGAGGCCCTTTTTCCTGGGATGGACTTGCCTTTAGCTGGGCACATTGGCCTGTGTGTGTCCAGGGCTTCCACAGAAGAGCCCGTGTTCCTTCCCCAGAAATCTTTCAGTGGGGAACAGGATGGCCTGTGGACAAAAAGCAAGCTTACACATTTATTTTAAATTGTTTCTCAGACTTTCTATCAGACCAGAAATCTATTCTGTTCCTTAGCACATAAAAAGCAGCATTGGGAGCAGCTGAACCTAGTCCTTAACTTGGGGACTGGGGGTTGCTCCAGGCCAGGCCAGGATTCTAGCCAGGTACACAGACCCCACGAGCTGTGGGGAGGTGTTACAGGCGAGGGATGGGAAGAGGACAAACCCTGCCTGCCCCTCCCCATGGCTAGCAGTCAGGCAGTCGTGCCATATTTGGTATTCTGAGCTGAGGGGGGTGGGTCCAGCTGTCATACAGGGACCAGGACAACCAGGGTCTTAGGCCCTGGGGAGTGAGTGGGTCCTGGTGCCGCCTGATGCCTGGGTGGCAGGAAGGGAACAGGATTAAAATTAAGGTGGTGGTTTGCAGGACTCCTCCACCCACATACTTGGCCGGACAGTAGAGCATCCATGGTGGTACTTGGAATGGCTGTTCACAGGCTATAACCATGAGACCGCCCGAGGGTTTGCAGAGCAGCTCTCACCAGCTTAGACCCCCCTTCTCCTTCCCCTACCTGGGAATCTTGTGACAGAGCACCAGTCCAGCAGACAGAAGTTCCCAATAAGCCCAGGCCACTCCTGTCTCACCCCTGGTTGTTGCCCATGACCCAGGAACCAGGACGGAGCTGGACATAAGGCCACTGGGTGTGCTTGTGCTGGGGCCATGTGGGGCGGGTGGAGTGTCCGCGGGGCCAGGGCTGTTCGTGTTTTCTCTGCCTTGGCCCTGGGCGGACTGGCTGGCTTAGTCCTCCTTGGGCCTCTCCACCGTGAGAAGTGTGTCCACAATCGCTGACTGCTGCTCCCTCTCCACCGTGAGAAACGTGTCCACAATCTCTGGATGCCGCTCAGGATCACCAAGAGGTTGCTTCTCGCGGTTCTGCTCAGGCCTGGTTCGTGTCCAGGATGGGGAGCGTAGACAACTTGCCCGGGGCAGTAGGTGTGAGCCTGGCGGGAACATGGGTGGGGTGAGTGTGGCTTGGGGTCCAGGGTCACTCCTGTAGTTACTGGACTGGGCTCTTGTGTACCTCCAGCACAGGGTCTGGTTGCACATCGGGTGCCCTGGGTGCTGAGAAGCATAGATGCCAGGCCACCAGCAATGCAGATGTGTGAGTCTGGGTGCAGCCGGGGCAGGGGCTTTCCTGATACCCCAAGGAGGTCCTCGTGCAGCAGAGGCCTTGCTCTGGGTGTGAGCCTGGCCCCAAGTGGCCGGCTGTCCCGCTCCCCCTGCCCTCCCAGGGCTTAGGCTCTGTGCCTCCCACTGGCTGCCTTCTTGCTTCAGAGGCCTGCAGGTGGGTCTTGGGCCAAACCAAATCAGGGCTAGGTGGAGGGGAGGGGCTGGGGCTGGGAATGCCATCTCCTCTTGCGCTTGGTCTGATTGTGATTTAAGTTCACATTTAGTAACTTCTGCCTTCCATGGAGCTGTGGCTTTGGTCTTAATTTATTGGTGTTTGCAAAGTAAAATTGAGGAGGGGTAGCTGTAACAGGAGAAAGGCTCCTTAGAGCAGGGCAAATAGATGCGTAACATGCAGAAATGTTAAATAGTGCTATGGTGAGAAATACTTATATAAACACATTTGAGAAAAAATTATAGGGGTTTGCAGGGAGCACTGTTTGCTGGTCTCAGGCCCAGGGTATCCCACAACCACCTGCCGTGCCCCCAACGCAAGCCCCACCTCCTGGGGACTCGCTGGTCAGATTCTCATCGTCTGAGTCGGCAAAGACCTCGGCTAGCTCCTGGTCAGACATGTCCGTCAGCTCGGTGAGGTCCAGGAGGTCAAAGTGCACCTCCAGGGAGGAGACGCTGCTCAGTGGCTCTGGTGGGAGGGGAGGGCAGTCATCCATGCAGCTCCCCCACCGAGGGCCCCTTGAGGCTCAAGAAGAGCCTGAATCCTGGGTAAAGCCCAGTGCATTCAGGATACGATGGGGCAGACTAAGACCCAAGTCTGCTTTCCATACACAAAAAACTGGAGGCCCTCCTTTTATAGGTGTTATAATGAGGTCCACCTGGCCAACACTGTAAGAGCTCAGGAACCGCCCACACCTGGGGGAAAGTTTGGACAGGACATGGACCCCTCCCCCATTTCCCAGGGGGCTCATGGGTCATTATGGAGCATGCAGGGCTGATCAGCCATACTCACGCCTCCTCTCCGTGACCTGCAGGAGCCCTGGCACAGCCACAGGGATGCCCACCTCCTCCTCGGCCACAGGTGAGGGGCAGCAGTCCCCTGTCCCATGGGCTGTGGTGCCCAGGACAGCCTGCGGCACCCCAACCTTGTTAACTATTTCTGCAACAGAGTCAGAAGGGCATTAATTGGGAGGGAATCTAGGAGATCCCACATGCCCACCCCCAGGATTTAGGCATGGAGGGCTTGTGAGTGTGGCTCATGGAGCCCTCCTTTGAGGCCTTGGGCAGTGACCAGCAGTGCCTGTAATGGCCTTGGTCCAGGATCCCAGATTAGGGGCAGGGGGGACTTTTCTGAGGAGGCTGGTCCTCTCCATGGGGCACTGGCTGCCTCCTGTGGACAAGGAGATGGAAGGACACTGTCACATGTCTCTGCTTTTTGTCCAACTGAGGAACCAATGGCCACTCTGGCATTTCCTTCCCTTTGGTCCTTTTACTCCAGAACAGCCCCTGTTCTCACCAGTCTGTCCTCTGTAGACTGCTTTTAAAAACCTATGTTATGTTTAAGACCCTGAATAGCCAAAGCAATACTGAGAAGAATAAAGTGGGGGGGGGGGGATTACGCTCCCCGAATTCAAACTCTACTATAAAGCCTCAGTAATCAAGACAGTTTAGTACTGGCACAAGAACAGACCCACAGACCAATGGAACAGACTAGAGAGTCCAGATATAAACCCAAACATATATGATCAATTAATATGATAAAGGAGCTATGGATATACAATGGGGAAATGACAGCCTCTTCAACAACTGGTGTTGGCAAAACTGGAAAGGTACATGCAAAAGAAACTGGATTATTGTCTAACCCCTACACAAAAGTAAACTCAAAATGGATCAAAGACCTGAATGTAAGTCATGAAACAATAAGACTCTTAGAGGAAAACATAGGCAAAAATCTCTTGAATATAAACATGAGCAACTTTTTCCTGAATGCATCTCCTTGGGCAAGGGAAACAAAATAAAAAGTGAACAAATGGGACTACATCATGCTAAAAGGCTTTTGTACAGCAAAGGACATCATCAGCAAAAGAAAAAGGCATCCTACAGTATGCAAGAATATATTTGTAAATGACATATCCGACAAGGGGTTAACATCCAAAATATATAAAGAACTCACATGCCTCAACACCCAAAAAGCAAATAACCCTATTAAAAAGTAGACAGAGGATATGAACAGACACTTCTCCAAAGAAGAAATTCAGATGGCCAACAGGCACATTAAAAGATGCTCCACACCACTAATTATCAGGAAAATGCAAATTCAAACCAAAATGACATATGGTGCACCTCACACCAGTTAGGATGGCCAACATAGAAAAGACTAGTAACAACAAATGCTGGCAAGGATGCAGAGAAAGGGGAACCCTCCTAACACTGCTGGTGGGAATGTAAACTAGTTCAAACATTGTGGAAAGCAGTATGGAGGTTCCTCAAAAAACTAAAAATAGAAATCCCATTTGACCCAGGAATTCCACTCCTATGAATTTACCCTAAGAATGCAGGATCCCAGTTTCAGAAAGACATATGCACCCCCATGTTTATCACAGCAGTATTTAAAATAGCCAAGAAATGGAAGCAACTTAAGTGTCCATCAATAGATGAATGGATAAGGAAGATGTACATATACACAGTGGAATATTATTCATCCATAAGAAGAAGAGAAATCCTACCATTTGCAACAAAACATGGATGGAGCTAGAGGGTATTATGCTCAGTGAAATAAGCCAGGTGGAGAAAGACAAGCACCAAACGATTTCACTCATATGTGGAGTATAAGAACAAAGAAAAAATGAACGAACAAAACAGCAGCAGAATCACAGAACCCAAGAATGGACTAACAGTTGGCAAAGGGAAAGGTACTGGGGAGGGTGGGTGTGAAGGGAGGGAGAAGGGGAATAAGGGGCATTACAATTAGCACACACAACATAGTGGCGGGGCGGGGCACGGGGAGGGCAGTATAGCACAGAGAAGACAAGTAGTCTACAGCATCTTAGTATGCTGGTGGACAGTGCCTGATATGGGGTATGTGGTGGGGACTTGATAATGAGGGGAATCTAGTAGTAACCACAATATTTTTCATGTGATTGTGTATTGATACCAAAGAAACCCAAAAAAACTTACGTTTGACATCAAAATAGTATGTTCTTATGGTAAGAGGGCTGTAGAGTCGGGAAGTGGCAGGCACCCCTCGCCACCAATCTACCTGATGACTGGAGAATGTTCCTCCATTTCTATGCAATTTATTTTCAGAGTTACCATTGCTCATTTTATATATTTCACAGTTTTTTGTCAGGTGATAGCTGGACGCCCACTGAGTATCAGCATGGTGGAGATTGCTGCTCAGATGGGACAGCTGCCAGTTCTGTGCTCAGCTTACATCCTTTCACCTCCTTCCAGCTCCTCAGCGTGTCCCAGAACCCACCAGCAGCTCTCCCTCTGCAGTTACTTGACCTTTTCACTCCCCCCACGCAGCCATAGAGTCCCTGAGGAGGGACATCTTGGCTCACCCACAGCCCCTCCCTACAGCCCTCCAGCTGAACAGGTGCCTGTCGGACCTGAGTGAGCACATGCCCTCCCGTGCCTGCTGGCAGGGCTCCACCGCCTCAGGCCCCCATCTGGCACACACGTGCTGAGCAGGCTGTGGACGGGGTCGTGGGAGCAGCTGCCTCGAGTGTTGTGCAAACGGGGCCCGGTTGGGGCCCCACTGCTGACAGCTGCCTGCCCCCCCCCCTCCCCGCCTCAGCAGTGTGGCCAGCAGCTTGTCTTGCCCGGTGGGACATGTGGGTCCGGAGGGTCCCCAGCTGAGTGGGATGATGGTGACATTGAGCTGCAGCTGCAGAGCTTTCTGAGCCACCCCGTGTGGGCACCAGCCCCCCTGGGAAGTGTGCTGTCATCATGGTGCTTGGGGCCAGCCTGTCTGGACCGAGGCTCAGGGGATCTGGTTTCTGCCTCTCTACCACATTTGGAAGTGACTTCTGAGCTTCCGTGGCAAGAAGGGTTGATTACACCTACAGTGTCCTGGCCTGCCTAGGACAAGGATGCTTCCCATCTAGAGGGGCACCAGAGGTGTGATGCAGACGTGCTCTGAGCTGGGGTGAGCAGGGACCTCTGCCTCCAACCTCAGATCAGCTGCTGAGGGGCAGGGGTCAAGGATCAAGGAAACCCTTGGGGAGTCCTTACTCTGCAGCACACAAGGGGAGGGTGGCACAGCAGTTCTGGTTGTGTGTGACCCTGAGTGTGTGTGACAGGAGTGTGCGGTGGCCACAATTCTGAGATGCTTCCATACATGTGACCTTTGGTGGTGGGTGACTGGCTGGGCTGGGAGCTCAGCAGGGGCTGCCATTTGTCTGGAGCCTCCACATTGGGGCGGTGGCTCTGGGTTGGTTAATAACTGTATTGACAGTGGCTGCCAGTCCCAGCATTCTCCACCCACCTGCAATGAAGGGGGAGCTGTGTTTTGCATGTTAGAGGTAAAGCCCTGAGTGGCTTAGCCTGTCCCCAGCACTCTCAGGTGCCACCTGTGAGCCTCACATTCCCAGGTCGTGGCATGGGGATGGGAGCAGTCGAGGAAGGGGGGGTCCCCTGATCCTGTGCCAGGTCTTCTCGCTCAGGTGGAAGACCTGAATGTGGGACAGAGTGGGGTCTCTGGTCACACCCGTCACTGGAGAGGCCCTCATCTAGACAAAATGGCACACATTCATGTATTCATTCAGTCAACAAAGATTTCCTTTCTGCCAAGTCTGCGATAATTCCTGCCCTCTCAATTGTGGGCACTGATGGGGAGCAGTGGGGGCCGTTCTGTTGGGAGGGTCTGAAGGTGTGTGGGAGAGAGACAGCACCAACAAGGTCCTAAGGTGGGGCTTGACTGCATCTGGGGAGCTGCTGGGGTGTGGGTGAGGGTGGGACACACACTGGTCAAAGGCAGGACTTGGGCTGCTGCTCTAGTGAGCTGGGAAAAGGCACTGAGAAGTTTTGAGCTGAGGAGCACAGCATCTCCCCACGTTTTTATGGGACAGCCCAGGTAGGAAGAACAAACTGTGTGGGTGCTGAAATGGTCGGGGAAGGACCTCACACTTCTCCTCCATTATTATATATCCTGGAGTCCAGGGGCCTTGGATGGTCCCTGTCGTGCTGACTGTAAGAAGCACGTTACCCGATTTCAACATTCGTGATACAGAAAAAGTACCCCTGTCAGGTGAACACAGTGCACCTGGACTACCGAAGTCACCATGTGTCTGTTTTTTTTATTCTTTCCCATTTCCTTTGGCAGTAGTATGGTCTGTAGTCTATTAAAGGCTGGTGTCTTGGCCTGTGTCAAAGCTCTAGGGGGAAGAAAAAGCAGAAGATACAATTTTTGCCATCAAGGATACTTTTGTCTGGAAGAATGTAATGGAAACAGAAGATTAAGAGTCAAAATGTCAAAACAGATGCCAGGGACATGAGGTTCCGAGTGCCTGGGAAGGGACAAGATTGATCTTGGCATAGAAGGTGGTGTAGCCACTGCAGAAAAAGAGTCCAGTGGCTCCTCACCACACAGCCTAGCAATCCCACGCCTACATTATGCCCAAGAGAAATGAAAGCAGAGGACACACAAACACTTGGATGTCCATCAACAGATGATGGATAAACAAAATGTGGTCTTTGCGTGCACTGGCATATATTACTCAGCCACAGAAATTGGCATGTGACACTTCAACATGGATGGACATGGAAAACGTTGAGTGCAAGAAGCCAGTCACAGAAGGCCACATTTTAATTCCATCTTCATGGAATGTCCGGAGTTGGCAAATCTACAGAGTGGAAAAGTAGATTAGAAAACCCAGAGAAAGTAGATCAGCTGGTGACAGAGGCTGGGGTGTGGAGCGGGGAGTGACTGCTAATGGGTACAGGGTTTCCTTTGGAGGCGATGAAAGTATCCTAAAACTAGATGGTGGTGATGGCTGCACAGCTTTGTGAATACAGGAAAAACAGAATGTGTACTTACAAAGGGTTGATTTTATGGTATGCCAGTTGTATCTCAATTTTTATGGAAATCCTCAGTGGGAACAAACAGGTTGATTAGAGTTGAGGTGCCCAGGCCAGGATGACTTAGGACATTCACTGACATCTGTGTGCCCCTGGCTCAGGGTGGGGTTGGGTTGAGAAGCATGAGCTTTGGGGCCCAAGCTTGGTTCTAGTGCACCACAAATGTCTATTGAACAAATTAACCCAAGAACCTACCCTTAGTTACTAAATGGTTGTGCAGGAATTACCCAGGTCTGCCTCATGCCCTCTCAACAAGCTCTGGGAGGAGTAAGGAACACTCTCCACAGGCGAGATGTGCTGTTCTTTGTGGGTGTGACAGAGCAATCACAGCAGACGTGAGCTGGGGGTGCTGGGCCTTGCCAAGCTGCAGGCTCAGTGAGCTGTGCCAGGGCAGAGGTAAGTGGGTGTTTGATACCCCAGGAAGGTCAGGGTGTGGGATAGCAATGCCTGGCATGGACCCTACCAAGGGACTGAGGCCCCTAGTCTCCTGCCACAGCTACTGCTGCCCTCATGGAAACAGTGCCTGTGGGGAGACTGCATTTGTGGTGCCACAGTTCTGTCTCCCAGGGCCAACTGCTAATAGAAGTGGCTAAGAGAGGGTTTTCTTGTGAATATGCTGCTGACCTATTTTCCAGCACATTGGTACTGAGAGCTTGGCCCAAATCTCAAGTCGTTGCTCTGCGCCCAGGGCTTTGCCCTGAGCAGCTAAGAGGTGCTCTGTACCCAATGAATGCATGAGCAAATTAATGAAGAATGAATATCATTAAAAAAAAAATGGCTTTGTGGAAGGAGAGATGGTCACAGAGGTGGGGTTTACCCACACTCCATCTCCCCAGTGCCTTGTTTCTGGATTCAAGCTTTTGAAGATGCTGGGTGGGCCCTGTTTGGGCACAGCCTCCTGACCACAGCACCATGGCTTCTCTATCCCTGTGGCCATGGTGCAGACTTGGAAGTGGGGTGGGTCAAAACCTTGGTTTTTCAAAAGCACCAGTTAGGGCCCCTCTTTCCCCAACCCACCCCCAGCTTCTTACCCCCAAATCTGCATGATTTGACATTAAGAAATCATTGTTTATTTAGGTGCAAAAATGGCATTTTAATTATGCTCTATAAAAACCTTATCTTTCAGAGATAATTTGAGCTGATATGTCTAATTTGCTACAAATACCAGTGCAGGGATGGTGGTGGTCTGGCTGAGCAGGCTGGGAGGTGGCCCACAGGCTTTACCATACTGTTCTACTTTTCTGTGTGCCCCAAACTCACCAAAATAAAAATTTCAAAAGTTAGTGACCTAAAAGAATGACCGTCACACCCACACATGACCTCAAGAGATGCCACGGGGTCATCAGCCTACTGTGTGGGCAGGAAATGGCTACAGGGTAAGAAGAATGGGAATCCTGGGTATGGCCCCGTCTGATGCTTTTGTGTCCCCAACCCGACCCGCCTGCTTACACAGAGTATACAGAGCAGGTAGCTGGTAAATGCAGGTCTACCTGGAATGAGTGAGTAGGTGACATTAAGAAAAACGAGTCATCAAGGTCCTCTTCCGAGTTCCTTCCTCCACCTTCTCGCTCAGGCTCCCACAGTCGTGCAGGAAGTGTAGCTGTCTCCATGGACAGAAGTGGATACTAAGAGGGCCCAGCTGCTTTGTCCATGTCTCCCAACTCTGCGCTCCCTAGCCCTTGCTTTCTAGTCTTTCCACCTTCACATTCCTGCAAATCTGCCACTTGGAAGCCCCAGGGTCCTGGGACTGCCAAGAGTGTAAAAAAGCTGGTCACTCCCACAAATGACAAAGAGAACTCACACCCACTAGCTCCTGGGTGTGTGTGGTGGTGCTGGCAGGGAGGGTGGCAAGGGCCTCCAGACTGCTGTGTGGAATGTACCTAACTCAGACTGTGAAGCAGTGGGTGGACCCACTGCTAATGGCCCTGTCCCAGGGCCAGCCTTTAGGTCTCCAGGGGAGGTCAATAGTGTGACTGGGAGACCCCAGCCAGTTCCTGTGTAGTCAGGGGTTACTAGTGCCCTGTGATGCGACCTTCAGGAAATCCAGGATGCAACTGGCGCTTGGACAGGCAGGTGGAGGAGCAGTTTCTAGGCGGGTGGCACCTGCAAATACCCCCTGGAAAGGCTCAGGGGGTGGGGTGGGGGTCCCAGGGCTTTCTTCCCATTACTAGCTGCCACCCTGTCTTGGACAAGAATCCAAAGGCGAAGAGCTACCGGAGGATCTCAACCGTAAGCGTCCCGAGGCGGGGGTGGGGGGTGGGGGTCACTCCATGCACACCTGCCTTCCCACATGTGTGCGTCCCTGGGCCTCGCCCAGACTGGTAACCCCTGCAGGCGCGGGTCTCCCCGCATGCCGTTCCCGCTACCCCCGCCCCAGGCTCTAGCTCAGCCCCGAGCCTTGCAGGATCCCGGCTGCGGCCCTCCCTGCCGTAGACCCAGGTTGTGGGTCTGGGGCAAACAAAGCGGAACGCGGCCAGGAGGGCCTCGCCGACCCGGACCCCAAATCCAGGCCCCTACACGGCCCATCGCCGGATCACCGACTGGGCTGGGAAAGGTCCAGGACGAAACTCTGGGCCACCCGCCTAGGAGCGCTCCAGGCACTTTTGCGGGCCGGGAGCGCACAGAACAAGGGGGCGGGGACGCGGTCCCAGCGACCCCCTGCCCAGCGCGGTGCCGTTCCCGGGAAGTGTCCCCGGCCGGGTCCTCCGCCCGGTGGGTCGCAGCGGGCACTCGGAGCTGCCAGTGTGTCCCGCGGGCCCTGGGCGCAGCCGACGATTGGGTCGGGGTAAGGGGCTGCGGCCCGCTGCGGGGAGGGCGCCGGGGAGGCTCCTGGGGCGGGGCCGCACTCACCTCCCGGGTCGGCACCATCCGGAGGCTCCATGCGGTCAGCAGGGTCTGGGGGGGGCGCGCGCAGCGGCGTCGTCACACGGCCCGGGTGCCCCTGCAGCTGCAGCGGCGGTTCGTTCCTGGCTCCCGGCGCAGCGCACCGTGGCAGCGGCCGGGAGGCGCCCGCGGCGGCGGGGAGGAGCCCGCGGGGCGGGGCGCGCAGCTGCTCCGGGGCCTGGGTTCCCTTCGGCATCCTCCCCAGCCCCGCAGCACAGGTGCGGCCGCACCCCGCCCCGCCGCGCGCGCCCCCTTTCGGCCCCGTACCAGTGGACAGCTCGTGTGGCCTCGCCGCCCGCCGCCCGTCCCCTGCACGGCCCGCTGCAGCTCCCAACCCTGGCGGGTGCCCACGACCCCTCCGCGCACTGTTCCGCCGCCGCCCTCTCCCCAGTTATTTATGCGGAGCCGGGCTTCTTGGAGTACGCGGGGCGGGCAAAGTGCAGGTAAAGGCGGTGCCAACACCCTAGGGGTCGTGTCGAATTGCAGATTGTAAAAAGGGCTAGGAAGAAACAGGAGGGGGGTGGGAGCGGGGCATGGGTAGGGGATGGGAGGTAAGGGGTTGGGGGTGGGCACGGAGGGCACCAAGGGGGAGAAAGACACGCCCTGGATGTGCTGAGAGCAGCCACGAAAGGTTCAACCAAATAGTACGTCCAAACGCTGAATGCGGCTCTGTGTCAAGCCCCTTGTGCATAGTATCTCATTAATCCTCCCAGGGATCCTAAGGAGCCGGTACTCTGGTTTTCCAGGTGAACAAGCTGAACGACAGAGAGGCGGGTAACTTGACCAATGCTGCACAGCCAGGCACTGGAAGCCAGAAGCCTGAACCCAAGGCCACAATCTCTACTTTCACAAAAACAAAGCAAACCAATGAAAAGCAGCAGGGAGAAAGAGTTTGTTACCAGCCAGGAGTGAAAAAGGCCGATAGAGAAAGGCAGAGGGTATGAACTTAGTGTTTTTTCAAAGGCAGATGGTTCATACAGCTTCAGCCCACCAAGGCCCTCACTGCTGAGCCCGGCTCCAGTCACACAGAACTCATGCCTCTGAGACTCTTGCTGAGTGAGATAGGCTAACATTTCCTGTTTTTCTGTAGTTTTCAAAACAAATGAAAACAGAACTGCTGTTTACAGCTGTTAATGGTGACTTCATGACCCTCTAGGACAAGCCCCTGCAGTCGTTGTGCCACACCAAGAGGAGGGGAGTTTGGCCTTTCAGAGACAAAGCTGAACTGCAGGTCGAGTGGTGGGGACATAAGCAAGTCCATGACTGCCCTGGGAAGTTGTGACAGGGGGTGGGCACTGGCTCAGAGGCAGCTGGGGTGGAAGACTGTTTTTTCTCAAAATGGTCAGAGTGGTATTTGATTCTGCATGCCTTCCAGAGCCTTCCATCTCCCATCAATACATTCCCTATCTGTACTCCTTCTGCTTGAACCTAGACAAAGTTTGTGACTGCTCCAGCCAATAGAAGTGATGCCATGTGACTTCCAAGGCTGGGTCATAAAGAGGGTTCACCTCTCAGAAGGCTCCCCTGGAACCCAGGCACCCTGTGTGAGGAAGTCCAGGCCACTCAAGGGGCCACGGGTGTGTTAGGCCAGACTTACAGTCTCACCAATAGCCATACATGAGACTAACTTTGAGGTACCCCCAGGGAGTATGTGGAGTCCTGGCCTCATTGCAAAATAGGTATTGTCACTTTATAAAGCCACTATATTTTGGAAACCTATTAGGCAGCCATAGTAACCATAACAGTAATTGTTGTTTAATACTTATGCCCATTTGAGAGATAAATAAATAGATACAGAGGGGGTCCTGTCAAGGGCATCCCATCTGGTAAGCAGCAGGTGATTTGAATCCAGAGGTCAGTGTTTATTTTTAATTTTTTATAAGAATATTTGTAAAAAAAAGTGGAGAGAATAGCACAATTAAACTGCACTATACCCATCACTCAGATTTAGGGATTGCCAACTCCTGGCTGATCTTGCTTCCTCTCTACTTTCGGTTGCCTTCTTCTGCTGCTGAATTGTTTTGAAGCAAATCCTATATACATTATATCGTTTCATTTGTTAGTACTTTGCTACTCATCTTTTTAAAATTATTATAAATATTATTTTGATATCATTAATGTCCAATTACTTGAACAACATATGGTTACTAGACTCCCCCTATTATCAAGTCCCCCCCCACACACCATTTCAGTCACTGTCCATCAGTGTAATAAGATGCTATGGAATCATTATTTGTCTTCTCTGTATGTACTGCCTTTCCTGTTACATTATGTGTGCTAATCCTAATGCCCCTTTTCCCCGCTTATCCCTCCCTTCCCACCCATCCTCCCCAGTCCCTTTCCCTTTGGTAACTGTTAGTCCATTCTTGGGTTCTGTGTTTCTGCTGCTGTTTTGTTCCTTCAGTTTTTGCTTTGTTCTTATACTCCACAGATGAGTGAAATCATTTGATACTTGTCTTTCTCCGCCTGGCTTATTTCACTGAGCATAATACCCTCTAGCTCCATCCATGTCGCTGCAAATGGTAGGATTTGTTGTCTTCTCATGGCTGAATAATATTCCATTGTGTATATGTACCACATGTTCTTTATACATTCATCTACCGATGGACACTTAGGTTGCTTCCATTTCTTGGCTATTTTAAATAGTGCTGTGATATACATAGAGGTGTATATGTCTTTTTCAAACTGGGCTGCTGCATTCTTAGGGTAAATTCCTAGGAGTGGAATTCCCGGGTCAAATGGTATTTCTATTTTTAGTTTTTTGAGGAACCTCCATATAGCTTTCCACAATGGTTGAACTAGTTCACATTCCCACCAGCAGTGTTAGGAGGGTTCCCCTTTCCCTGCATCCTTGCCAGCATTTGTTTTTCCTTGTCTTTTGAATGTTGGTCATCCTTACTGGTGTGAGGTGATATCTCACTGTGGTTTTAATTTGCATTTCTATGATGATTAGCGATGTGGAGCATCTTTTACTGTGCCTGTTGGCCATATGAATTTCTTCTTTGGAGAATTGTCTGTTCAGCTCCTCTGCCCATTTTTTGCTACTTATCTTTAAAAAAGTCTAGCCTTCTTAAGTACTATGTTATCTTAACATCCAGGCCTCCAGTGAGTTGATGCAGTTTACCTGGGCAAACAAGTAAGTGGGAATTAGGAAGAGCCACACAGACAATATGGTTGGTGAGAATTATGTATTAACCATCATTGCCCTGTGATTCTGCAAAAAACTCAGATGCCATTTATCTGGGTTTCAGACCTGCACAGCTTGATGCTGAATAAAAAGTATTTTAGGCCACACATGTGAAGAAAAGTCTCTTTTCTAAATATCTGAACTCAAATCCAAAATGAAAAGCACAGGCTGCTGTGGGCCTTGTAGGGAGCCCAGAGAGTCAGCAACCAGGGCTCCCTGTACTGTTCTTTTCTGCAGTCCACACTGATAAACCAAGTGATGCTATTGTTCTGTGACAAATGAATACCCTGTGTCATCCTGAATTAACCTCCTATATTTGTCCATTTTACTGAAATGAATTATTGTTAATGTGTGTATTTAATTTGGGACTCCCAATCAGACTTATAAGCAAAATGTTCATCAGCATGAGGTACTTAGCATATTGGGTCTGTAAAATAAGTGATAGTGATAATTACCCTGCTGAGTTACTCAGCTGCATTCGCTTGCATGCTGACCCCTACACCGGGAGGCCCTGACACAGGGGAAGGATTCCCCTATCAGACAAGTAGTGCCTGGCACAGAGGCACAAGCTCTTGTGAGCCCAGCACAGTGACATGATCAGGCCTCACAAAGGCCTCAGGGTCTGCTATAAATAAATAATGGCTCTGTGCAGGCAGCGTCATGCTGTTTTCTTCCAGCTAGCTGCTCCACTCCAACAACAATCAGGGCTTGAGTGGGCAAACAGGAAGCCCCTTGGGCTCATCACTGCGGCTCTCAGATCCTTGCCTTTGTGGGAATGCCTCAAGCCTGAGCAACCTAGATAATGAGGCATCTTCCTCTCTGAGCCCCTCTTCTTTACTCAGTCTGTCCCCAGTTCAACTCTCCAGCGGGGAGAAGATTCCGGAATCGAATACATCCCAAAACAGATGGGAAAAGATGCTGCAAAATCAGGTCAGAAGATGGTAAAGTTAAGAGTGTAGGGAAAAAGAAAAAAAAAAGGACAACAAACTATGTGTAAAGACGTGCACTTGCTTAAGACAAGCTCTTAGCCTTATGGGTAATCGGAAATTGGCTTTGTAAATGGTAATTTGCTGGCAGTTTCCAGAGCAAGAGTTTAGGAAAGGAACCTGGTAACTCTTGTTTCTGCGGTGCTTGTATGGAGACCTTAGGAGAGGTTTCCCGTTTTTCCTCACCATGAGGATGAGACCGCAGGGGAGGCCTTTTCAGGCAGAGATGTTTATTTTTGTGAAGGGTACACTTGCTGATTTCGTAAGTTTGGAGCTAGCCGAAACATATTTTTCCCTCCTATCTTTTTCTTCTAACGGTTTGTGGAAACCCTAGCTTCCTTGCATCCTCACCTGGGCAGCAGTTGGGGTGTGGCCCAGGGGCAGAATCTGAGCCCTGATTTGAATCTACTTTGGGTAACGTCCGGAGCCACGGGTGGCAGACGTGCCCTCCCTTCCTCCTTCCCTGAAGGCATCTCCATGGCACACCTTCAGCTACTGTTGTAGGCGCTGCAGGTAAGAAGAGGACCATGGGGACCCCGATCGCCTCATGGTGTTGAGTTGTAGCCGGGGAGATCAGAAATGCACATCATATATCCCGCACGCATTGTTATTATTGCTTTTGAATATTATTATTATAGTTATTGAAACGTATTTAGGAGGGTCGGGGTAAGCGCGCCGAAGCACAAGGTTAGGTCGATCAGGGACTCCACCCAGGAAGCGTTGCTAGGGACTCGCTTCCGCTGTTTCCTGAGCTTGCGTGTCTTGCGGTGTCTCGCGAGGATCTTCGGGATTTCGCGAGGGACCGCCCAGCGGTTGCCGGGAGACAGTGCAGCCTCGGCTGGGCCGGCACTATCCGCTGGTGGGGCGGGACCCGACAGCTGGAGCCATGGTGAGAGGTGCTGGGGTGCGCCAGGGTCCGCGCAGAGACCCCTGGACGGGGAGGCCTGGGTCCCCGGGGCCTGTGCGCACTGAGGCCCCTGGACGGGGCGGCCTGAGCTCCGGGGTCATCGGGTATCCTGCGCTCAGAGACCTCTGAACAGGGTGACCTGGAGTTCTGGGTTCTTGAATGTGAGGACTTGATGTTGTGGGGGAGTCCTGATGGGGAGAGCCG